AATGGAGTTGAATAAAGTCACTATCAAGAATAAATATCATTTACCACAGCTTGATGATCTATTTGATGATTTGATCAACTTGTTGGATCATCTATATTTTCTAAGATTAATTTGTAATTTTGGTATTATTTGATGAAGGTGAGAGAGTCTAATGTGATGAAGATAGCTTTCAATGCTATGCATGAGCATTATGAATTTTTTGTCATACCTTTTAGGGTAACAAATTCGACAACTGTCTTTATGGATTTTATGAATAGTGTTCAAGGATTATCTGGATCTGTTTGTGATAATACTCATAGATGATATTTTGATTTATTTCAATTATGAAGAAGATCATGTTAGACCTCTGAGGATTATTTTGAAGAATTTAAAGCAGCATCAGCTACATAAATAATTCTCTAAATATGAGTTCTAGGCTTCTAGCTGAGCAGTATTTTCTTTTTTGAGGCATGTGGTGAGTAGTGCAGATATTTTTATATACCCAAAAAAATTCGGACAGTCACTAATTGGCTGAGGCCTACTACCATATTTAAGGTATATAGTTTCTTGGGTATGGATGTATATTACAGGAAGTTCGTGAAGAAATTTTCTCATATTTTTGCACCTCTGATGAGATTGACTCGAAAGCCAATAGCTTTGTCTTGACACCCGAGTGTGAGGCCACTTTTTAGAGATTGAATAATTGATTGACTTCTACTCCAATTTTGACTCTTCCATCTTATACAGAAGGATTTCAGGCATTCAATGATGCTTCACTGAAATGTTTGGGATATATTATGATGCAGCATGATAGAGTTATAGCTTGTCCTTCTAGATAATTGAAACCATATGACCCCCTTATCTTGGATAGAGATGGATGAAAGATATTTGATTGGGCTAGCTTTGGTTGAAGATGCTACTAAAAGGATCCATTTGATCAAAGACAATTTGAAAAATATACAGAACGGGCAGTGAAGGTATTTTGATGTGAAGCATTGGGCTGTGGAGTTTCAAGTAGGAGATTTTGTATATGTGAAGATCAGATCGATGAAAGGCATCAGCAGGTTTGACATAGAAGAAAAGTTGAGTCAAAGTTACATTGGACCATTCGAAGTTATTAAAAGAATTGAAAGTTTGCTTATAGATTACAATTGCCATATCAGACAAGTTTGCTTATAGGTTACAGTTGACATATCATATGTCTGAGATTCATAAAATGTTTCACGTGTCACATATGTGAAAAAGTGTATTTGATTCAGAAAATAGGATATCTACTGAAGACATCAAAGACTTATGAATCTGAGCTACACGGAAGAACCATAAAGGGTTCTAGCCTATGATGTCATAAAGTTAAAAAAATAAATAGATTCTAATGATTAAAGTTCAGTGGAAGAATATAATTGAAAGAAAAGCTACTTTGGAGAAGGAATCTAAGATGAGGCAATTGTATCCCAATTTATTTATGCGATTTGATATCTGAGTTTTGAAATGTCGATGATGACATTTTTCTGAGGAAAGGAGAGTTGTGACACCTCAGATTTAGCATTTGGTTTAACATGTTATGGCCTGGATTGAAAAAATAAATATTTAAACTTTTGTGTTTTGAACTCTTTGCATATGTTTCAAAGTGATATGTGTGTGTGAAAAAGGTCTCCATGTATTTTGGAATAAGTTTCAGGGATTTGAATGCATATTGATGAAATTTGAAATTTTTCTCCTAGAGCGTCAAGGAGTTGTGTTGTATGGTGCCTCAATGTCGGGTGCAGTGGTGCTTATGTGCTCAAAAGTGGTGTCTGACATTGTGCACTCAGTTATTTGTGAAATAAATTAGCATCGCAACACTGAATAGTGATGCTGCAGCTCTAGGCCATTATTTGCGCTTTAATATATTTAAATTCCATTATTCCATTCATTTGAGCAACTAACATTGGAGAGAGAAGAGGGATTTTGGAGAGAGAGAGAGAAGAGATTTTGAGCCGCTTCAGGTTGTTTTTAGCTTTCAACCTAATTCAGAAAGTTATCTGGATCGAGGTGGGTCACACTATATGTCACATCCAAAGATCTAATAAGTAGAAGAACATCTTTTCTATTCTCCTTTTTTTCTATACAAACAATATGCATTCATTTATTGGATGTCTCCCAAATTATATTCTAGGGCGTCACACTATTACCTATCTCAATTTTCAAAAATACGTCAATTTCTCAAATTTTCTAATTAAATTTCTATTTTTGTTACCGAAAAATAATGAAAACTTTGCACTTGTAAAACTTTCGATGCGTAAACTTTTTATGCGTTATAGAGATATTGAGATTCTGAATATTTTGAATATTTTCTTGAAACTTTATACATATAGTTTTGGAATTTATGTTTTTCTTATTAAATAGAAAATAATCTAGACTATGAAAAAATAATACAATAGCATAATTAAAGTCTTAAAATGATGCTTTACACAATCTATGTAATTTGATTATGTTTTCATACTGTGAATTTTAACTCAATAGAAATTTTTGTTCTACCATTATAGAAAACTATAAAATTCTTATATAAGCTCAATTAGTAGTAATAGACCTAGTGAGGGGATTGTGACTTTGGGCGATCAAGTCATTAATAAGAGTACACGTTTTAGATATCTTGGATCTATTCTTCAGAGTGATGGTGAAATAGATGGGGATATTATCAGCGGAATTCAAGTTGGATGGTTGAAGTGGAGGAATGCATCGGGCTTGTTATGTGATAGAAATGTACCCCTCAAACTTAAGGGAAAATTCTACAAGATGGTAGTGAGGCTTGCAATGCTTTATGGTGCCGAATGTTGGCCATTAAAAGAGAAGCATAATACTAAGTTAAGTGTGGAAGAGATGAGGATGCTCAGGTGGATGAGTGGCTTTACCCTTAGAGATAAGATATGAAATGAGCATATACGTGAAAGGTTGGAGTAGCTCCAATAGAAGATAAGATTAGAGAGAGTCACCTTAGATGGTTTGGTCACATAAAACGACAGCCTTCCGATGACCCGGTTAGGAGAGTAGAGGTATTAGATTTGACTTATGTTAAGAAAGGTAGGGGTAGACATAAAAAGACTTGGTTAGAAAATATTAGGAATGACCTTTCTTTATTAGATTTAAACGAGAATTTGACTTTTAATAGGACACAATAGAGAAAAAGGATTCATGTAACCGACCCCACGTAGTGGGATAAAGGCTTGATGTTGTTGTTGTATAAGCTCAATTATGATTTAATTGATATAATGTGATGAAATTTATATTCAAGTGATTGAATTGTGTTCTTTATTGGTTGAATTGAAAAGTTTTGTTGAAATTATTGTGAAAAGAGTCAGATATTATGGTGCTTCTACTGTATATTCTGGTGGCTAAAAAGTCATGTTCTTGTGCCTTCGGACATGTTCTGTGGCTAAAAAATCATGTTTTGGTGTCTATAAGGCATATTTTGGTGGCTAAAAAGTCATGTTCTAATTCCTACATACATATTTTGGTGTGCTTACGAAAATGTTCTAATCTATAAGCACAATGGGAGTCATAAGGGCTATAATCCTTTGAGATTCTATCTAGAATCATAGAAATCTATTATGTTATGTTATATGATATGAATTTCAATTTATTTGAATGTTTAGTATAATTACTTCCATCTATGGATAATTGGTATGCTCGTATTACTTTATTTAGCATAGTGGTTTATTATACTATAATTAAATATTCAAGTAAATATTTAATAAAAGAAATATATATAAATTTAGATCGATATTTATGGTTTGTTGAGTTGTTTTAGCTCACTTTGATTTTGCATTATGTTTTAAGGGTTTGGGAAAGTGAAGGATCCAGTTGAGTAGCTGTTCACGATCCAATCTGAGTCTGTATAGATATTCTTCTTTGAGTTTGCACAATCAAGCCTAGTTTTATTATTCAATTATTTAGTTTTTGTTTATAGTCATGCACTGTGATTGTGTATAGATATTTTGATAATGAAATGGAAGAGATTTTATGGATGAGATTACTTTAGTACTCTGAATATTTTAGTAGCTCTGTAGTCTGTTATTATTTGTTTTAAAGTTTCAAAGCTAGTTCTTGAAATTTTTCTATCACGGCTCAACAAGATAGGACCTGCCCATTAGCGAGTCCTGCCAGGTTGGGTTGTGACATGAAATTTCCAATTTGTTTTTCTATTATGATAAATCATTTAGCAATGATCCCAGTAGAAATTGGATATTGAAGATGAAAGTTCAAATTTGCCTTTTAAGAATGCTTACTTTAACATTTTCTTCTTCTTTCAATTATATTTTGAATGACCTTCCCTATCGTGAGTTGGAAGGCTTCCCTTAATGAAAAAGATGGTTTGCTTTAAAATTTGGAGTGCAACATCAACTGACATTTCCTCCAATGAAATGCTAATAATAAGAGTTTCTTTCACTAACCATCTTTTCATCGATATCATAATTGACCTCTCACTTGAATAATTTGGGTCACACATCTTCAGATCGATTGGTTCTTCATTCATTTTTAGAGTTTGATAAACAACACAGCTTCTAAGGGTAGAAAGCAATTCTCTCATTCACTTGTAGCAGCTCTTCATCAGAAGCATAAACCAAGGTTTCTAGGCTATAGTACCAGTTGATACAAAACAACTCATGACCCTTACAATAAAATTACTTGTCCAAGCCCTTGCTCGGTGCTTCCATCAACAACTATCACTCCAAAACCTTTAGTAAATTTTTTAGATCAAAGAGGGATAAAAAATGAATACGATATACTGGCAGTTAAATCTATTTTTAATCAAAAACCAAAGTTAATGGATGAAATACAATCATAGCAATATATCTTTTAATCATTTAATATGAAACTAAACTCAATACTCTCATATGCCTTAAAACTCTTTCTATAATTTATGCTGACAAATGATTCTTGTGCAACTAATACTATGCATGGCATGGTTCTGCACAGACTAAAAGGTCATGGTGATATATAACTACAGGAATTAGGCATTGTATTGCAGCAAAAATAATCAATTCTTAGAATCCAGCAAGAAATTTTCTTCTTTTCAAAAAGATTTGAATCACACAAGCTCAGAGATGGTTCAAACCACACAAAGCTGATTATTATGTGCATTTATCTTCAAGGATAGATATATAACCAAGCAGTACAAACCACACCCACATATGGAACTCCAAGCGATTTTTAGTATAGACAAAGTTTTTGGCTCATGATAAAGATAGAGAAGCCCTGAACAAAGTAATTGACGAAGAACCCAAACAGTAATAGAAAACTGTCTATTCCTAAAGAAGTCAGTAGGCATAAGCATCTCAATCACTTCCACTTTCTGAACTTGCCTCCAAACATTTTATGTTTGCCAAACAGTCTGTGCTTCCCCCCAAGCCTCATATGCTTGCCAAATTTCCCATGCTTGAACTTTCCATGCTTAAATTTCCCATGGTGTCCGAATCCATGGTAGGCCATGTGGCCATGATGAGAAAGCTGATGAACACCATAAGCAGTGGCTGCAGCAGCTGCACCGCCTGCTAATAAAGCCCCCATGCTAGACCCATGGCCTAAAACAAAGGTTTTAAGAAAAATCTATCATCAAACAGATATCAGAAAATAAAAAACAAAGAACAAGGAGATTGAACGTGGAAGGGAGAATGCTGTTAAGTGGGATTACAGATAAAATGCAGAGGGCAAAGGTAAAAAAAATAGCTGCATTTGGGGAGTTATGTGGTATTTATAGAACAGATGATGACATCTATTGGCTAAGCCCACATATTTATTGGCTAAGCAAGAACAATTACTATTGGAGGAATAAACATTTGCAGCAATAAAAATGCATACCATGAGCAGAAGGACCAGGATAACCGGCTGGAGGGTATGCGCCATGGGACTGATGTCCTGTTGGTGGGTAGCCATGCGGAGGATAACCTTGCGGAGGATAACCATGCGGAGGGTATGCTCCAGGTGCTGAAGGGTAACCTTGAGGTGGATATGCTCCAGGAGCTGAAGGGTATCCTTGTTGTGGATATGCTCCAGGTGCTGAAGGGTATCCTTGTTGTGGATATGGTGGGCGGAATGGGTATCCTGCACCAAATGCATGTGCCAGGTTTGACAAAAAACCCTTCTCAGAAGTGTCATCATGGTTGCCATTTCCACCACCCATTACTGTTCTACGAGAAGCAAACTCTATTAAAGGAAGCAAAGAATGTGAATTATGACAAAATCCAAGTATGGAAACAGTTTGAGAGCTTTAGATGGGAAAGACAGAGACATACAGACAATAAGCACAGCAAAAATGCCTGATAATTATAACAGAAATAGAATTATCATACAACAAGAAACAAGCAGGCAGAAATACTTAAGCACTTCTCGTGCCACATACTGCAATTGCACAACAGATTCAAGATGTACACCAATGCTCAAGTGATCTGCTAGTTTGAACAGCCACCAAGAAGTCTTTTCAAGCTGGCAGATTTTAATTCAACATAAGAATTTAGTTTTTAAGCTTCGTTTGGGACAGCTTTTTTGTTGCTTTTTAAAACAGCTTTTTAGCACAAAAATTTCGTGAATTAAAAATTTTTGTACTAGAAAGCCGTTTTAGAAAGCAACAAAAAGCTGTCCCAAATGAAATGTTAGTGTTTGTTAGCATTACGAATTAACAGACGCATGTCCACAAAAAAAAGTTTACTCTCTGCCAACTTGTGCTACTTCTATGCCCCTATGTTTAGAGAAACTGTTACTCCAGACAGCTCTCATGGACAGTGACAAATTAAAGAGACAAAGCTCACCTAAAGCAGTAGTTATATAATTCTGCTAAATTTGCAAACTTCATAATACTTATAAGCATTCACCACAAAACAGATATATGTGAACAAGCAAAAAAGTAACTGTACACAAACAAGTAGTATGCAAAAAGATTCCAAGCATCTATTATTTAACAGCAGAAATTCGAGAACAGAAGCTGAATACAAAATGAGTAGTTGCATTAAGATATGCACTTCTTCATTTTAACTCTCTCAATACAAACATGCAAACACAAAAGTATCCAACCATCTCACCGCATTATGGAAATTTAGTAAAAGAGTGGACAGTATCTGCTAAGCTTGGACAATGTTATCCTATTGTTCTCATCAGTGTAAGATTTGATCAAGATTGAAAAACATCAAATGCTTATGTAGATTCTTTCTCAAGCCCCTGGACATGGCTCAAATTTTGGGTCTAAGAACAAAAACTGATGCTGGAAGAATCTCAAGGAATTAAATATAGAAAAACCAATTGATTTAGCGATGCCCCTGGATAGACAACAACAGCAATTATGACAAGGAATGCACAGCAAGTCATGTGATAAAGTACATTACCATAGGGTAGCTTGTATATTTACAATTTTAAAAGTTTAATTAAAATTTTAGTTATATTTTTTACCAACTTCTTAGTTACACCAAGGAAAAAATTAAATCACAAATCCTAATATATTTTAAGTCAGGATAATAAGACAAAATAATAAAACATTGATATAACAGCATAAAACTAGAAGACATTGACATAAAAATAGAAAACATAATTTTCTTTTCTCAGAAAATTTAGATGCCCTCTACTTTTAAGCATGTGCCTTCTATATTTTATAATTGTCTTCCTATTCTGACACAAATTTAATAAGGTATTTTTTAGTTTTTTCTTTAATCCAAGGAACAAAAATTCCATTTGACAGCACCTACTTTCATTGCATGCATCATAATTTTTTTTGCAGGCTTTCATTCAAACTGAAAAAATAAAAAGAAAATATAACTTTATAGAAGACATTTAAATAAAATTTAAAAAATAACAACTCTTGTAGGGGTTTTTATTAAATAGATATGAACCATCAACACTTACAGATGATGCAATAAAATTTAGGGTCATTAAAATATGCAAAGTTTCAGTCAAATGAATTATTTATAAGAGGTTCACTCTAGGGATTAGGACTAAAAATCATCTTAGAAGTGAGAATGATCATTCAACATTCTTACCTCAAATAGATTCCCTCGATATAGAAGACGCTCTTAAGGATAAATTTTGGATTATAGAAACACAAGATAAATTGAATAAGTTTATGATGAATAATGTTTGGGAGTTAGTCCCAAAACCCTCGAACCACAATATTATTATAACTAAATTGATCTTTAGCAATAAGATTAGTAATACAAGAACCTTAATTAGAAATAGAACTAGACTAGCAGCTCAAGTTTTAGCCAAATAGAAGTCATATGATTTGAGGAATATTATGCCCCCAAAGTATTCACCCCTACTCTTAGATCATCGAGAGAAGTAGAGGAGCTCTTTTATGAACATCTATCACATCAACAACATGTGTTGTCTAAACGTCAGTAGTATAATCTAGAAGATTCAATTTCATAAGTCACCATATATCTTCCCATAATTATTTAACAATGGATGCAATATTAATTAACAGGACCTCAACTTGTAATTCTTAAGAGGAAGTAGACAACAATTTTAGAACATGTCAACCAACCTCTATATATGAAAAGAACCTTATAAGAATATTGAAGCTTGTAACTTAACTTGTTTCTTCATCTTAATAAAAGCATAAAATCTTTTAGCCTCAACAATCTGCCCAAGCATAATCCTGGTTTAGACTGAGGAATAGTCTCAGGCATAAGCTTAGGATTAAGCTTGATAAGAGGCTACTTATGAATTACAATATTCATAAAATTCATCAACAAAACTTGGATCATCACAATAATAATCTTCACAGAAAAACTCATCACGAAGTTCAAGTTTTTGAAGCTGTGGAAATAATACAAATGCTTAAACTTCTAAAATTGATGCAAACTTCTAAACCTTTAAAGTTTGAGAAATTGGTGAATAATATGATGTATCATCATAATACGATGATTTTGGATGGGGATGTGTAGACAATCATATACAACCATTAGAAGATTTATATTGACGTAAGTAGCTATAATTGTAATATAACTCATTGCAATTATTAAACCACTATAAAATGACTTTATGAAGGTTTTATATTTATAAGAATAAGAACTACGATTATTTATGTAACCATCATAGATATGTAATATAGTTGTAAGATTCCTCAACGAATCTGCTTAGTACATTTAAACAATATGTCAACAAATCATCAAAAAATATTTGACCAATCATCAAAAGATATCGTTATATGTTGTTTGAAGCTTATACCACACAAATCATACAATGCACCCACACGTAATTAATATACATGATAATGTCGCATGCTTATAACATTTATGAATTTGATGACAAAATTCAATAAATTCATGGCAATTCAAAAATGAAAAAGGAGAATTCGACGAATGAATTTTTATGTTTATTATGCATCTTCCTAGCATAATTTATGCATCATAAACGTCAACTTTTTTTGCTTTTTTTTTTCATGCTGATAGATGAAAGAAATTCATGTGACTTTATGCTAGGGTTTAAATACAATTAAATAAGTTTTTTTCAGCCTTCTCATGCATTTTAAGCATGACTATCAAGCCAAGCATTAAAAAAAAGACTACCGCAGGCTAGAGCCTCTTGTTAAAACTCCTTGAACTTCAATACGTGGCTATATACCATGCTGGAGTTGAGTTTGCTAATACATCCTTTGGAGATAGCTAAGTTCTACATATCCTTTAGAGTTGGGTAGACTCTGTATACATTTCTTGACTTTATAATGGTTGGAAAATAGCTGAGTCATCAACTACTTTATATTAAGTGAAGATTGGCTTGGCTAAGGCATGCAACCGTGCACTACAGGGGAACATTCTATATGATAGCCTAACACCCTAAAGGGATCTCCATTTTAAGATCAACATTTAGTCATCCAATCTTATTGCATATAAGCATCTCAAGTTGAGAGCCTAAGAACTCATGGATTCATCTTAGGAATAGTGGGGTATCTTATAAATATCAATAAGATTATTAATCTATCAGTTAAACTCTTAATATATAGTTGTCAAGAGATTCACGAGATCATGCAAAGTTAAAACTTCCATTAGTGTAATCAAATTAATGAACACTCGCATCCCAAACTGAGCCTTAAAAACTTGTTGGTCCATCTCAAGCTCGCAGTAGGCTTGACTTAGATAACTCGATCAACCTCATCAAGCGAAAGATGTTGTAACAACAATGAAACCGTACAAAAAAGCTAACCATGTAGAAAGGCTGATGTTGAAGTTATAGATGGAGAGAGAAATAATGTAGTTGTTGCCCCTCTATTCAAAGGGCTTTGGACTCAACATCCGAGGGAAGCAACTAGGGTTGTCAAGGAATCAAGTGTTCGACGAGTTGCTCATGGCTCGACTTGATAAGAGCTCGTTTATATTCGTTTGATAAGCTAAAGTAACAAGCTTGAACACTTTTGATAAATACTCGAAAGCTAAATGAACGAGCTTGAATAGCTTGTCATTCGGATCGTTTATGTTCACGAACAGTATCATTTAAAGCTCATGAACAAGCTCGTTAAGAAGCTCAATTAGAACTCGATTAAGGCTTGTGTTCGGCTCGAATTGTCTTCAAATAAATAAATAGTTTCAAAAATAAATATTGATAAATTTATTTAACTAATTTAATAATTTAATTATCTTTTTATTTAATTGATGTTTATATTTAATTCACGATTATTTAATTCACATTTTTTATATATTCAATGACATAAATAGCTTTAATATAATAAATTATAAAATAAAGCTATTACTTAAGTAACTACCCACAAGCTATTAACATAAATAGCTTCCACGTTTATTTAATTCACGATTAATAGCTTTCACATTTTTGGATACCCCACCCTCCTCTCTCTCCTCCATGGCACGCCTCTCTCTCATTTGCGTCGTCAGAAAAATTAAAAAAAAAAGTGTGAAGTTTAGTCCCACACCGCTTTTGAGTGTTTTGGTTTGGCTCTATGTAAGTAAAAAAATGTATAGAGCAGTTGTTGTTCAACATTTAGGGTGAAGGAGATGAGAGCCAAGTTGGTGGTTTTTTCGGCAAGCTGCTCTATTTAGTAATTTTATTTTGTTAAACGAGCGGCTCGTTAAGAGGCCCCACAAGACTAAAATGAACCAAGCTCGAACAGATGTTTTTTAAACGAGCTCGAACAAAGACCAAAAAAGATCAAATCTTATCGAACTGAACTCGAATATGGTTTTGGCAAACGAACACGAGCTCGAAAGTGCCAAACCTCAGCTCAGCTCGGTTCGTTTATAGCCCAAGAGGCAACTCATGCCAACCTTCTCCAATAAGCTTTAGTAAATTCAAACGCATTAAAAAAAAGGATTATTGGATTCTACCTCGAAAGAAGATGAAACTTGGTTAACCTTCATATTAGGAGATCAAATGGGTTTCCCTCAAAGTAAACCTATCCATAAGGTGCTCTCCCCAAACGGAAGCCTCAAACGGCCAAATCAGCTATGTAAGTTGGACAAAATTTAGTTTGGTTAGGTAAGGAGGGAGATCTCCCTAAATATATATTGACTTATGCTGGTTTTAATTTAAATTAGATACAATCATCTAGCTAGATCAAAGGAATCTCTCTTAGAATCTACCCACTTCTCAAGTCTTAACCTAGAGTTTCTAGAAAACATTGAAGTGATCCAAAGTCTAAAATCTTAAAGTGCATGAAAAACTCAACTAGGATCCTGTTTAAAAGGCAATGCCTAAGACTATTTTAAAATAATTAAAATTTTATATTGAGAGTTGAGGTGTAAGATTGTGTTAATGTAGGTCACATTGGCACATTTGAAAAATGTGACTTTAACACTTAAACTAATTTTCCCATCTAAAATGGCTTACTTGCATTGAACCAAATCAAGTTGATTCAACAGACAACCAAGTTTCCATTGGAGTTTGGATTGTCGAAGGAAGGAACGACAAACGACCCATCTAGAAAAGGTGGCACTTATTTTTTGGGGGCTAGGCAACCATTTCCCCTAGAGCAGCTGCAGAAAAAATTGGCTATATTAACCAATCACATCTGCTCTTCAATAGCTTCAAGGGTTAAGGAGATAGGAAGAGGCTCCCTACTTTGTGTGGTCATCATCTTATGTGAGACGCACAGTTGCACCTACCTCTTCCTTTTTTTTTTTTCATTGTATGCTTTCTATCAGTGGCAACATAGCCTTCAGCCATGAAAACACAACAACGAACAGCTAGTATACAAAATTGCAGAAAAGGAATCCCTTCTATAAATGTGAAATCTTGAAAATCATGACCCCTATTGAGGCACTTTAAGATCCATGAGGACTCTAGCCATACTTGCTTCAAAATTCATGCTTGCCTTCAGATCTTTGCGATCCCCGACTTCTAATTTTATTTGGAACCCGTCATTCCATACATCAATGGAACCCAACAATACCTGCTTTCAAAAAAGGCATCCCTTCTTCACGCAAATATGGCATGAAAAGACCAAAATTTTAGTTCCGATTCAATCAGCCAATTTACCTACCTTTGTGATGAACACATCACAAAAAGAACGAGAAAAAAAATGAGAAGAAAAAAATCCCACGCCATTTCATGCGGAATCTCATAAATAAACTCTGGTACAAATTCCGTCTGCTAAAACATAAGAATGGATTGTGACTATCAATCCAGTATGCCGTTCTTACATACAAAACGAAGCAAGAAAATAGAAATAGGAATGTAGAAACGAGAAGCAGGGGCAAAAGACGATTCACCGTTCGCTTGAGGGAAATCCAAACGAAGAATTCCTGCTTCTCTGTGCGGGTAAATTGGAGAGGAAGGCGAGAATACTCTTTTTTTTTCCACAAAAAGTGAAAAAGAATACCCTTTTAATTGCGGACGCGTCTGAGATGAAGTGATCTTTTTTGACATTTAGCAGAAAATACCGCGTGAGATGGGCTGCTCCGTGCTGATCGATGGTATCTTTTTTTATTTATTAAAATTAATTTATTTTTATATTGCTCAAATCTTCAACTTTTTTAGAGGAAAAAATATTTTTATTATAATACCTTAACACAAATTTTAGTAGATGAGCTTAAATTTTATTTAATTAATTTGAGATTAATAATATTAATATGTCGTTAAAAAATGATCTTGATCGAACACTAATCTCGATGCAAATATATCTCGGAAACTTTTAAAATTAAGGCTTTATTTGGGACATATTTATTACTATTTTGTAAAACTACGTTTTAGTACTAAAACCTCTTGAAAATAAGAAAAAAAATAGTGGTCTAAGGTTATCCCAAATCAAGTCTAAATTCGAGATCATCCAAACTCTAATTTCAGCAAGCTTATAGCCAAATTGAACATCTCAAGAAGACAAACCAAATGACACCAAATTCAGTTCAATATGAGCCCAAATATGCCCAAATCAAACGACCAAAAGGTATTTAAAAGCTTTAAAATATTAATTAGATGATCAAATGATATCCAAGTATGACATGTTTATAGTCGAATCGAGTGGCTCGACGAGATGAATCCAACAAGCCCAATATCGTTTAATTCTAACATCATTAAGACACTTAAATGTTGAACATAATATTATATGATTGAGAGAATTGATATCAACCGTCCAATGGAACATTCTAAGTTTGCCCTATATATTCTTCATAATTACTAAGCATGTTACTCTAAAAAAAGTATAAATAGACCATTATTCTTCACATGAGGGGAGAAATAAGAGAGGAGAAAACTAAGGAGCTCTCTTGCATTCTATAGCCAGCCCAGTAATCAAATTTTCTTTTGACCGCCGACTGTCATATATCACCCGCTGATTATGGTCCTTCAGACCTCCATCCAATTAATAATCATCTAAATTAAAAGTCAACAGGTGATGGATGCTTAGAACCCCATTATAAAGTATTGAATATTATAACCCTTCCTATGGAACTTGAAATGTGTTATATTTTTAATATCCTTAGAAACTCCATCCATTATCTATAGATGGCTTGGTAGTATGTTTGACATTGGAATTGTGTTAGGCGTGGGCTTCTGAATTAGGAGTAGACTCTAAAGTCTAAGGTCGAAATAAAGAGGTAGCAATCTTTTAATTTTCCACTATAATGCCAGAGTGGAAAGCATTCTCTAACGTATGTGGGTTAGACATCTCTACTTCATTCATAATATTCATTCTATGACTAAGAACAAATTTATTGGCCAATTACAACTTATTGCTACATAATTAGTCCAAAAAATGGAGTCATCAAGTGTTAAGATACTAGAAATTTTGGATCATTTGCTAAGACATTGGTTAAATAGATATTTACACAAACAAAGAGTCTCATCTTAGTAATAGTGGTAATTTCGTAATTACCCATCCTATATCACTTAAAGAACTAATTCATTTGCAATACCCATTCCAACAATTTATCAAGGCAATGTAGATTATCATAGAAAGGTGGCTCAAGTTTAAATATTTTAGAAGAATTATTAAATTTTTTAGAAAACCTATTATGATTGTCCCATCTACCCTCATTTTTTTAAAAAATTTGGCCTTCTATTGGGATTATCTTCCTTTGGGTTTAAATAAGATTCATCATATTATGAGTCAAAGTGTGTGGGCTGTGGAAGTGTAGGAGTTGGGGTGGAATTTCTTGAGGCATGGTTTTGCACTTTTGCTATCAAAATATTTATTTAATTTCTCAAATTGTATATATGATCTTTGTTTTATTTCACCGTCTTAGTTGTACCCTCGACATGATTTATATAGAATAACATAGGTGGCATGATATTCAGAGACAAGATTCATAGAATGGTAAATAAAAATGTGACCCATTTGAAGGGTCCTTTAAATATATAATCCTTTATGGATTTCAAAATAACATTTAACCTTGATACTTTCTATAAATTCCACCTATTTGTCCTTCAAAAATGATCTTTGGATTTTTGAGAAAATCACTTGTAAAATTTAAATAAGAGACTCTCTCTCTCTCTCTCTCTCTCTCTCTCAATCAATCAATCCATGTGCATTCTCTATAGACATTGACCATGCAATACTCGTTGAAGCAATGTGCAGTTGCATATGTTTTGACCTGATCTAATAAAGAGCAATGCAATGAAATTGCAATATCTCTACTTCAGGTATGTATGTACGTGTCTGTGAGCGTTTTGTATGCATGTAAATGTCTGAAACTATTCTGATGCGTGTCTCAAGGGTTTGTGTGCATAAATAGAAAGTCATATTTTTTTTCCTTGGGAGCATTGCGATGCTGGTTTAGGGGCCTTGTGATGACAAGCTCTTAGGCTTGTTTATTTTAAATTGCTATGGGTCAGCGCAAGGGCATCGCTATCTGGAGCACCTTGCTGTTAGCTTAAAGTCTTATAAAAATATAATTTTCCACTCAAATTTCATCTTTGTAAAAAAGATTTCCTAAAGTCAGCTACAACCTAAAGATAGAAAAGTGAGAGAAAACTAGTTTTGATTCTCCACAATCATCTAAGTTCAGAAATTTATTTAAGTCAATGTATGTTACATTTTGTGTACGTTAGTTTACAAAAAATAAAAAAATGAATTTTTTATTTATTTAAGTTATAAATTCATAGCATAAAACAGATATTATTTTACTCATTAAACTTTTACAGTGTAACTTTATGCATATTATAGAAAAATGGATGAGTTTATTTTCTATGCATTGAATGTTAATTACTAGCTCTATAGACTATTTAAAATTAAAAGAAATCTGAAAAGTTTCAAAACTTAGATCTTGGATTTATTTTTCATCATTCAACTCGATATGACTTGTTTTATCTGTTGATCATATTGGGTTGGATTATGATAGGCCACTAGGCCAATCTCGGGTAGCGATGTTTATTTAATTTTTCATAGTGAACTATTTCTCAATACCCCTCCATGGTTGTAGAGTGTAATTTCAAACTACAAATATCTCAATATTTATATTACATTACCAATCATAGTTGTAAGTTGTAAAAATGAATTTAATTAAATATGAATTATTCTAAGTTAATTACTAAACAACCCACAAAATCTGTAAACAAACATTTTTGCACTAGATCAAAGGCTCCTAAATGTCTTCATCTTTAGGATTCCTTAATGTTTTTTATGATGATAGTGAGACCCAATGTCGAGTCTACAATTTGGCCCTTAAGAACTTACTAATGCCAACGAATAAGAAAGATGCACAATATTAAATAATCATATTGAATTTTTTCCTTCAAACATACATTGAATACTATCATAATGAAAATATATGGAGATGACAAAAAAACTTCATGCAAAATAAGTGTTGCATGTTAGAACATTCGTTGCGACTGAGAGATATTGAACATTTAACGCCCTAGTTTTATACAAAGATCTAGCACATACACATATAAGAGAGAGGGGTGCAAGAGTCATAAGAGACACATGATCTTTTTACATTAAAAATCCTAAAAAATGTGAAAAATCATGAGGCATAGCCTAGTTAAAATAGTTCAACTAATGTTTGTCATTTGATTACAAATGATGTCCTTCCTCGAGGAAAGACATCGACTTAATGTAGCAAACATACATGATATAAAGCACATTGCATGGTTGGTGTTGGAAGAATCCAATGACATGAGAGTTGGTCTCAAGAAAATGTTGCACTATTTTATTTGGTCGGTGGGACAGAAGTTGAGTGACAGTGGTTAATGGGATTATAGTTTGGCGACAGAGGTCGAAGGGATCATGGTTGGGCGATAGAGGCCAGAGTGATCATAGTCGGTGGGTGATAATGGTTAGACATACTGTAGTCAGCGGGTGAAGGAGGTCGAATGGACCATAGTGGACGAGTGACGAAAATTTAAAGGACCATAATAGGGTGATGTTGGTCCTATGATAATAGTCAGGTGATGCATGTCTGTGGGACCATAGTCTGGTGATAGTGGTTAGAGGGACAGTACTTAGGTGACAATCATTTGAGGATTGCATTCGACAGGTGATTAAAATTGGAAAAACCATAGTTGGGCGACGTCGGTCAGAGGACCGTAGTTAGACAATTGTGATATGAGGATTGTAGTTAGAAGATGACTCAGGTTTGAAGGACTGTGATCGGGTGACGTTAACTCGAGAACAATAGCCAAACCAAGGTATGATGATGACGGTTAGGTGGAGGTTCGACGACAATGATCCTGAGGAGGTATGGTGGTGGAAGCCTAGTTGAGGTCCTGCGACAGTGGACAAGCGGACATCTGATGATGATCGACTAGTCAAAGTCTGGTGGCAGCTATTAGGCGACAATGATTCCCCCAAATCCCTCCATTCAAAGAGTGAGGGTATACATATAGATTTTTGGAAGTAGCATGGATCATAAATATGGAGAAGATCTGAGCATATTAGGAATGCTCTATTAGATATGCCATATTAATCCCCTTAATTATAGAGCATTTGTTCAACATTTAAGTGTCTTAATGGTGCCAAAATTATGAAATCTTTAGGCTCGTTGGATTTGTCTTGCTAAGCAACTCGATTAAATAATAAACATGTTATATTTAGATATCATTTGCTTATCCAACTCAGGCTTAAAAGTGGGCCCGAACTTAATGTGGCGGCCGATCAGCCGCCGCCTGTAATCAGCATGCACCTATGCATGAGGAGCACGTACTACACCCCACTAATTTTTTTTAATTTACTTTTTTATATTTAAAAAATTTAAAATAAATAATTTTGAATCTAAAAAAAGGAAATTATTTAAATTAAATATTGTTTATTTATCAAAAAGAAAATTAGTGTTTTTTTTTTTACTTTTGAAAAATCTAAAAAATTGTAGAAAAGTTCAAAAAATCAAGAGGAATTTTTTAAAATTTTCTCCCTCTATGATCTATGATTCCCCCCATTAGAGGTGTGAAAAAAGCACAATCCTCTTACGTTGGCTCCAATTCTCCTCCGTAAAAGTAAAGAACAACTATCCCACAATAATTTAATATCTGTCCCCGACAATCAAAGGATCGGTCCTCCTATGCAGGATCTAGTTCTCCCCTATGAAATGAGGGTAAAACGGTCCGACAAGAGTATAAAAATCATTGGTGGCAGCAAAGACTCGATCCTCTTATGCAGAATATAACTCTCCCCAGTAAAAGGAAGGAAAAATTGTCATTAGTGTTCATTCAACATTCCACTGTCTTAATGATGTCAGAATAAAAAAAATATTGGGCTGTCGAATTCATTTCGTTGAGTTGCTCAAGTTGACTGTAAGCATATCATATTAAAATATCATTTGATCATTCAATTAGTATTTTGAAGCTTTCAAATATGCTTTAGACAATTAATTTGTTCCCATTTGGGTTCGAATTTGACAAATTTTGATGTTGTTAAGTTCTTCTGGTCGAGACATCTGTCTATGAGTTTGCTGAAATCAAAGTTCAAATGATCCCGAATTTAATTTTTTAAATTTCAAATTCAAATATGCCTTGAGATTCGTGACCGATCAAGCTGATTTTGGTGACATATAAATAAGAAAAATAAACTTCTAGAATAACCAAGAAAAGTTTGGAGAAATACTTACATTCTTCTAACATTAAGTTGAATTAATTAAGTATTCAATTTGAGGGATTATATTAAAAATATGAAATATATTAATTTTATTTATAAGGTATAAATAAATATTTATCAATTAAACTATTATTTGCATATTCTTTAAAAAATTGAGATCAAATTTGTCTTTTCAAGTAAAAATTTTCAAAACCCATATTAAAAAAAATCTTTTTTTTTTCTTCAAAAGAATAAAAAGGAGACAATTGTTCCTCTTTTTGCATGAGGGGAATGCCGGTATTTCCACGAGAAATTATTAAATGCGGAATTTAGATGAGAGAAATATTCAAATTTATTGAATATTTGTTGAGTATTTATAAATACTATGGAAATAAATAAATATTTAATAAATACTCGTAAATTTTATAAATATATTCAATAAATACTTAATAAATATTTTTAACTGAATATTTGATGAGTATCAGCAAATCCAGACGGTCCGTCCGGACACCGCGGAGCCACAGCGATGCCGTTGTCCATCTATCCAAGTCGAATCATAGCCGTCCAAGCTCCAGAGACTCTATATAGAACTCAAGACGCCCAAGCGCGGACGCAGAAAGGGCTAGGGTTTCCTTCTTGAGAATTCTCAGGTGCGGTCTCGTTCCAATTTCTGTGAATCTATAGGATTTTTTTAGGGTTTTGATAGTTGAGTATAATTCCTTCCGCTCTGTCTTTGTTCTCTTAAGATATGCTTGCAAGTTCCTTAGTTTTCTCGCTTGCAAGGTTGAAAGTTCCTCGCAAGATTCTAGAACTTTTATTTTAGCCATTTTCTTCGATCGCCAACCTGGTGTGATTAAAAATGGTTTTTTATTGATCTATATTTGTTATTCGGGAACTTTGTTCAAGATCGTGTTTCGTTTAACATTCATTAGGATGCTTCTTGTGGGGGTTTATTGTTTTGACCTGCTTGATGTTGTAAGCTATCTACTATATGGGGAAATATCCCTAAAGTTTCGAAAGATTTATTTTTCTCGCATACTCTGTTCTCGACTGCGCTAAGTGCTACTTTTTTAGTACCATATGCTGTGTTTCCTGGATTGAACTTCTGAATAAGTCTACCACCCTTCTCGCATACACCATCTCAATGTGATATATATTGTTTATTTTGAGTATAATTCCTTCTGCTCTGTCTTCCTTCCCAAATACCCCAACAAGAAGCATCCTAATGAATGTTAAACGAAACACAATCTTGAACAAAGTTCCCGTATAATATCAATAAAAAACCATTTTTAATCACACCAGGTAAACTAAACACAATCTGGAACACAGTTACCGCATAACAAATTCAAATCAATGAAAAAGTCATTTTAATCACATCAGGTCGGCGAGAGAAGAAAATGGCCAAGTAAATCAAACACACATAATTCTCAAATGAAAGTTATAGAATTGTGTGAGGAACTTTCAACTTTGCTAGTGATAAAACTAAGAAACTTGCAAGCAGATGTTGTAACTTGTAAGCTATCTACTATATTGAGAAATATCCCTAAAATTTTGAAAGTTTTTCTTTTTCTCTCATACTTCTATTCTAGACTGTGCTAAGTGCCAATTTTTTAGTGCCAGATGCTGTGATTCCTTGATAGAAGTTCTTAATTACAAAATATTTGAAAATATGGACTATTAGTTATTGGCATGGTTGGTAAGTTAATGGTGAAGTAGTTTTTTTGTGAATTTGAAATTGTTTTTTTTTTTTTTTGAAACCTGATATTGTTATTTAAGGTTCTACCTCTCACAGATAATGAATGAGGTGCTGTTCTTCTTAGTTTCTTGTGAATGTTTTGGTATTTCCAATTGCATTTTTCCATATCATGGATGATATATTGTTGGGTGTTGCGTTTTATTCTGTGTTTTTGTTGGTCGATTTGGGCCTGAAACTTCTTAGCTATATGAAGGGATAGGCTATGTAGGAAATAATATGCTTTTCTGTAATAGTTTACTCCTTATGTTTTAATTTTATTGGATGAGCAAAGCGTTATAAGTGTCATGGACCAATTATTTGAGGTTTTATATTAAATTATTCTACTTGACATCTAGCTGATTTGTTCTAGATTCATGGATTTTAATAATAAATGCTAAATCTCTAATTCTTTGCATTCGAATTTGCCTATTTTACAAATTCTACATACTCAAGTATGTATCAAGTTTGTCCCCTCCTTCGTTAGGGCCCCTTCCCCCCTTTTATTATCCAGCATTGGAAGTTCATGTTTTGCGCTGCAACCTTTCTATGTTATCTCTTCAGCCCTCATCTATTTTTTTTTTATTCTTTTTCTTTTGTTTGATGTTGATATTTCCTGTTGCTTTGGAGCTTAATTTCAAGGCTGACTCAACATATCAACATCTATGACTATGATGTCTTTCTTCTACAGAGTGGACATTATCAAAAGTGACAAAGTAAACTAATTTATCCTTTTTATCAATTCTGAAATCAAATGAGTCTGTTTGGCTCTAACCACCTACAACAGGGTGCAATTCTTTCATTGGTAAAGATGATTAGAACTTAACCTTTATTGAGCACTATAGCATTGTCTAAGCACATTTTCAGTTCCAATTTATTCTTATGTACCCTTCTGTGGGTGAGTTCTTTCATGGAGGAGCAGTGAACCAAATATGTGTGCCTAATCCAAGTAATTTTGTTGACATATAGGCCACACTTTTGTTTATGCTGGGTGAAACCTCTTTGAAACATAAGAGGTGAGGGGAACACTTTGTGGTTCGGCATCAATGGATGAGATGGCATGAATGTTCTTAATGTTTTAAAAAACATCTTGTCTTATTCTTTATTTTCCCTTCATACCTTGATGGATTCAAGCCTTAAAAAAAGGAGGAAGGTGAATTCACCCTTAGTTGTTTCTCCAACTTTCTTGGTGACAACAGAGAACAAAGAACAGAAGTAAAATGCTGCTTCTTTCTTGTATGAGCCAAAGCATCTCAACTTGAACTGAACTACCTAAAATAATTCTACATGAGAAGTTGACTGGCTCTCTTTCTCATGAGACTAATCTATTCAGTCATTGTTGTGGAAAATGTTCCTCCTATGATGAATTTTTCAACTTGTGTACTTTCATTTTAAGAGTTTTGTCATATTTTTAAAATTTTGAACAATTAACCTGTCTTTTCAAAATAGTGCTATGATGTTCTAAATTCTCAACTAATCACTCTCACTTTCTTTTCGGCCTCCTATTACTACTACATATAGCAAATATATTGGGCAGATCTGTTGTCTTCTAGCATGAAACATGCTCGTGATCATTAGACTGGACAACATGGAGCACACAATGTTCAAATCACCTTTTACTTTCTTGATTGGATTAGTGGCACAGCTAATGGAGCCCTTGTTCAGCAGTTGTGGGATCTGGTTCCATTGGCCTTAGCACGACATTTCATTTCTTTGTTTAGGTGTTTGTACAAGAGGAATGAGTTGATGAAAGGCTTCCAGCAAATAATATTCATTTGTCATATTGCACTTAACATGTTTGAGCTCTCTCTGATCAAGACCATGCTTTCTATGTTTTCAATGGTTGAGTTTTGTTATGTTTATTTATTATTCTACTCATCATTTCTGTGCTTTTTTTTAATTGTTCATGCTCTCTTTTTCCTGTTAGTTTGACTATATTTCACCTACTTCCTCTTTAGGCTTTAGTACGCGCACTGCAATGTAAGTATTTTGTTTTTTGCATAGGGAATACTTGGCTTCAAGCAAATATTTGCTTTATGATTGGACTTTCTTTAACTTCTAGATTTTGTTTGGATCTGAACTTTCCACTTGCTTGTCTCAGCTTGCATTTTTTTCCTTTTCTGTACATATTCTTTTTTATTTGCACATTACATTAAAGGTTTTTAGGTTGGTGACCATGCAAATTTATAAACATGAACTTTTAAATGATATATCTAGTAATATATTGCACTTTTTTATGAAGACACATAAAGGCCAAGGGTGTTGCTAAAGAATACTTAAGAAAACAAGCAAAAAAGAAAACTTTTTCGTTGTGCAGTTTTCAATGTCATATATAACTGTCTTGAGTGGACTTGTTTTTAATGGATAATGTAATAGTAGTTGAGTGATCTGAAAGGGAATTGATATAGGTAACATATTGATGTCCACTGGTTAGGGGGTGAGCAGCGATCCCTTGTAATTTTTCATTGCTACTTTTTAATTATACCAGAGCTGTGCATTTTCACCATTAATTGATCCCTGCTATGAACTTATCTGTTTGTCAAAATCTAGCACTTGTATTTTGAAATTTGACTATTGTGTAAATCCCTCTTTCTTCTTTGGGTCTTTAACAGCATTTTCTACGTTGTTTCAGTGGTAAGATGCCCCGTTACAGCGATCGTCATGGGAGCACGAGACTATATGTTGGGCGCCTATCTTCAAAAATTCGCTCACGAGATCTCGAGGACCTCTTCAGCAGATATGGAAGGTATTATATCCCACTTATTATTTTTATCTTCATATTATTGCTACATAGCTCTTACCATGGATTTTTTATCTGTCTATGTAGCCGATCTCTTGTTGAGCTTTTTGCAAGTTAGTGATATAATTATTATTTAGGCTAGAATTTTTGTTTACTACTTTCCCAAATTAATGTTTAATAGAAACTAGCTTAGCTCAACCAAGTATAGGGATTCTTCCTATAGTTTTCTAGTTCTGTATTTAATCCAAGTCTAGAAGCTAAGTATTCTCTGAGAATACTGCCAAGCTCTGATCGCATCTTGTACCATTCTGATTTTTTTTTTTTTGTATTTAGTTTGTCCTTTCCGTGTTTACATATTTGACTTAGGCTTCATTTGGGACGGCTTTCTTTCTGCTTCTTAAAGCAATTTTTAGTACAAAATTTTTAATCTTTGAACTAAAAAGCCACTTTGAGAAGCACTAAAAAAGCCGCCCCAAACAAAGCCTTATTTGCACATATAAACTGTCTTATCTTCCCTGCTGACTTTTTTGAAAAAGGTTTTACTGAGTGTTTGAAGACTTATATATTTTTTTTGGATTTGTGTGGGTATGCGGTAGTCTTTCTGGTGATTTTGGGGAGTTCTCAATGTATCTCTCTTCTGAGGCCACGCTTCTATACTCATACATTTTTTGTATAATGGGTTATGGGATGAAACAACAAACAATCTTGTTGGAGTCATATTCCTTTGACAAGCCAGTAACCTACTCTCAGGTTTCTGCGTTTTCTTTTTTTATCTCGTGAGAAGGTTCAGCCCTAGGTGTCTTGTATCTTAACATTAATGATCTTGTTGAAGGTTGTTGGGCTTTTTCCCAACCTGGAGGTCCCCGGTGGGAGGGTGCCCTTGGTGGAATTGGTGGCTATTGTAGGAGACTTTGGCGATTCTTTCTGTAATATTATGTTTTTATGGAAATGGCAACAATCACAAAGTGGTGTTTAGTTGATCTTCTGAGGAACGAGTATCATACCCTTAAGTGATGATGGCCTTACTCTTTGTGGCAACCGTTTACGCAGAGTACGGGATGTGGACCTGAAGTACGACTACGCCTTTGTTGTATGTGAACCTCAACTCCTTATGTTACTTTTTTTCTGCTCTCATTACTTTTATATTTTTATTTCCATTTTTGTCAGATCAAGGTTTTGGTCTTTTACCCAAGCCTCCCGTCTATAACTTGTAATTTTATCCTACTTGGTTTGTAATCATGCAATCATATCAGGAATTTAGTGATCCACGAGATGCTGATGATGCAAGGTATAACCTAGATGGACGAGAATTTTATGGCGGTCGTATTATTGTCGAATTTGCTAGAGGAGTAAGTATTGAACCGTGCACATTAACTAGCCAGATCAACTTGATTTGTTATCTGTTAGGCTTCGTTTGGGAATACTTTCTTTATGCTTCTTAAAGCAGCTTCCTAATCTTTAAGAAGCAATAAGAAAGCTGGCCCAAACAAAACCTTAATCCCTTGTTTTGTAGCTTTTCACGCAACTTTGAATTTCATATGCTAAACATATATGTAGGTCTGTTGTTAGTTTAATCCCTTGCTTTGTGACAATGCTTGCAACATTGAAGTTCATGTACTTGACTTGACCATTTATTTAGGGCCCGCGCGGTCCTGGAGGCTCGCGAGAGTATCTTGGGAGGGGTGCACCTCCTGGTTCTGGTCGGTGCTTCAATTGTGGTCTTGATGGTCACTGGGCTAGGGACTGTAAAGCCGGGGACTGGAAAAATAAGTGCTATCGTTGTGGTGAAAGAGGTCATATTGAGAGGAACTGCCAGAACAGTCCCAAGGAACTAAAGTGTGATGCCTTTTTGATCCATTATCCTATATATTACGTGAACTTAATAACATCCTAGTTGGTATAACCATGCAACTTGTTTTGTATATTTTTAGACGGGCACATAGTTATTCTCGCTCTCCATCCCCTCGCCGTGGCGGTAGGAGCCGCAGTCGAAGCTATAGCCGAAGCCGAAGCCGTAGCTATAGGTATAATTCAATAATTTGTGTGCATTACATTTATATGATGCCATCAGTTCCAATTGGATTTCACTAACTTTTATAGATTTGTTAGAATATATGTATTTTTTTTTGTTAGAATATAATGCTATGTATTTAAAAAGCATTTACTGCATGTCAATTGATGCATTTTAATAATTCCTACCCTCGTTGATGAGGCAGCTGTAACTATTATAGAAGTGGTAGAATGCAAGAAAAACTTCAAAAAAAAAAAAAAAAAAACTGTTACTAAAACCATCATAAATTTTTTCCTTTTTAGAAAACTCAGACAACCTTAGTACAGCTATAATATTTCAGCATATATCTCTGTTTCTCTTCAGAAAATATTATGAAAAACAGTGAGAAAAGTGGGATTTTATGGATCACATTGGTCTATTAGTTGGGAGTTTAGGCTACCAACTAAGAGGTCTTGGATTTGAGTCTTGTGTATGAGATATGTGTGTGAGTCTGTCTTAAGTGGCCTAAATTTTCAAAAAAAAAAAGGGAAAGAAAAGTGGAACCAAAACAACACCGTTGCAGTGGAGAAATTATTTTGTGTGGAGGCTGGACGCAGCTCTACGTCCGAAGACGAATCAAGTGTAGCTACGTCAGCGGTACTGAGCTGCGGTACAGAGCAGTACCAAGCTGCGGTACGAATGAAGGGGTGATGTGGCGCATTTTGATTGGCACGAACAGAATAATTTTTCCTACATCTTTCAACATAAAAGGTTACCTCAAAATGACTAATTGCGCACTCTTTTGGGTCTTTCATTCATGGTCCATGGCATTCAAGTAGCTGTATGGTTATCATCTGCAGCTGCCACATTTTTTTTTTGTAAGTTTTCAGCTGCTGAGATCTTAGTTTTGGCGATCCAAAATTTAACAGGAATTCCATTTGGGAATAAATTCCCCATTGCTGCTGTACTTTTTTTTTTACACCTGTACTTGGCAATTCAACAGATTTCATTATGCAGGCGAATGATATTCTCACCAGGTTTGGTTTTTTCTTTCTAATATTGCAGCCGTTCACGATCTCCTGCTCCTAAGAGGGACAGCCGTTCAAAGAGTCCCCGCGACAGCAGGAGCGCAAGCAGAAGCCCTCCACCGTCAAAGGGAAGGAAGCGAAGCCCATCCCCTTACGAAAGCCGAAGCCCAAGTCCTCGAGCGAAGGATGAACGCAGGGAAGCGGAGCGAGAAGGATCTGATTACAGTCAAACCCCAAGGAGAGAGACTAGCAGGAGCCCTGCAAGTTCAGAGAAGGAGAGATCCCCAGCTGCTGAGAGGAACGGAAGTCCAGAGGCTAATGGGCGGAGCCCGAGCCCTAGAGATGATGATGATGGAGCTGATCGTGCCTCTCCAAGGGGTAGCGAATCCCCTCGGGAATAAAAAGCTTGGCAGCTTTTGCCCAAAACTCATTCTGAGAGACAATATGAACTTTGCTGCTCGAAATTGTCTTACTGTTTTTAAACTTGGATATGCAAGATTATGCTCTGCTTTTTTTTTTTCACCCCTTAAATTTTCCTTGGAAGTCTCATTGGCTTTTTATTTGTTTAGGTTTGAGGATCTTTTACTTGTGCTGGTAAATTGTCTTGTGGTCAATATTGCAACTGCTAATCTGTTTTGTGCTTGTGCCTGTCTTATGTAATATTAAAGTATCGTTTAATCAGTAGGTAGTGCCTGACCTTCTACAAGTTGGAAAGCGAACTAAGCCAGTGGCAGAGTAGTTTAGCCGCATGGATAGGAAAGGGTTTAAGGAATAGTATGCGGGGGAAGAGTAATTTTTCAAGGGGGATTTTATACATATCATTTTATTTATGTTATTTATATCTTTATAACAATTCCAGAAGCAAATAACCAATTTTCCATTTCAGATGCATAGAAAAGACAGCAGCTTTGATCTTATGAGCTAAGGTAGTAGAAAACACAAAAAGCTTGCCAAATCTTTTATCATTTATTTCTCTCCAAATATGATATACCGAGCATCAAATAATGAGGAAGTAAAAATTCTTGTTCTTATGATGTATTTCATCAGTATACTAAAAAAATTGTAATATGTTTGGCCTAAGAAGCAAAGACCCCAAATTGCTCATAATTTAGATAGAACAGAGAAAAAATAGTCACATTAAAAAAATAAATGGATAACAAATTCATTTGTGCTATGACATAAAGGGCATAATGCATCAACAATAACACCCTTAGTTATAAGAACATCAGCAGTCTTAATACCCCTATTTAAAGCCATCCAACATAAAGTAGATAATCTAAGTGCATATTGATTATGCCAAACAAAATGTTGCCAATTCTACCTGTTTTTATTGAGAATTATAGAGACTTTAGCATTAGCATGTAAGAGGCTGAGAATGGGGTGCAGCTCCATAACTTCCTTTAAAAATTTGTCATTAAATCAGTGATCCCAATAGAGAGATAAATGGGAGTTAGGAGAAATCTTAAAATGAATTTTTTTTCGGCAAGCTTGGCATCCCTTATAACACTTTTCCAAAATTTGGAAGCTTTAGAAACAGGATCCTTCCAAGGAGATACATACATGTAGAATAGTCACTTAGCAAGAGGGCTATGAGAATTGTAAATTTTCTCAATCAAAGAGCAGTTAAAGCCAAAATGTATAGAATGCAAGGATGGTAACCCAAGACCTCCCACATCTTCGGGTTTGCAGGTATTACACTTCGAGATTAAATGTAGTTTCCGCCAAGAAGTCTCACAAAAGTAGAGAAATATAGCCCAAAGTTTGTCAATTTGTTTTATAATGGTTTTCGGTATAATGGCCCCACGAATCCAGTAAGAAATCATATTCCAAATTGTGTACCTAAGGAACTAGAGCCTATCGACAAAAGATAAAGCTTTAGCTTTCCAACCTAAGAGTTTGTAGGTGACATTTTCCATCAATATAGAGAAGCTAACAAGCTTAGGATTGTAGGGGGATAAAGGAACCCCAAGATAGACAATGCTAGTGGAGGTAGCAGGCTTATTGAAGATAGTACAAATGTCATAAGCTATACGACAATTAGGAGGTAAAATAATGGAGCTCTTCCCAAAATTCACTTCCAGACCTGAAGCCATAGAGAATTTCCTAAGAATTTGGCCAAGTTTATCACATTAATTAATATCAGCTTTCCCAAAAATGATAAGATCATCAACATACATTAGGTGGGAAAGCCTTTGATCTCCGATAGAGAGTGCTTCAAATATATTATCATTAGCAGTATTATCTAGCAAAAAGGAAAATGCATTCATCATAATACAAAAAAAAAATAAGAACTTAAGGGACACCCCTGCCTAAGCCCAGACGAGGAGGGAAAAAATCTTGGTAAGGAGGGGTTTTTTTTTTAATGAGCATTAAATTACAAAATATTTGATTTGAATATGTAGTGTAGAGAAATAAACTTTCCTTTAATTTTTGGGTTGTAGATCCTTTCATAGGTAAATATATTGCTCATATGAAAATCTAGGTTCATTAGATGATTAGGCTGATAAAAAAATGTTATTATCATTTTATCTTAGGGTTTCACATATATATCACATAATTCCTATGTGTTTATATGTTTATTTTTTAAATTTTGTTATTTACTTATATAATATTTTAGTATTTCAATCATATCAATGTGTATACATGAAAATATTTATTTCTTTTTAGAAAAAAACTAATATTAATTATATTTTTAAGAAATTTAAAATTTAGGTGTCATATAAGTAGATGTTAAACTTAGGTGTTAAATATATAAACATAAAATATTTGTGTGGCATGTATGTAAATCTCCCTTTTAGTCATAGCATAGTATGTCAATATTTGTTAACAATTGTGTTGTGATTAGGGTTATGAATGTCTGATTTTGAGCTAATTCATGCTTGGCTAAAAAATGGTTGGATGGATGGGGTTATAATAGCTTGAAATGTAATCGTGGCTTTATGTGTTTGATTATTAGTCAACTCGAATTGAAATTGGATGTCGCAACGTCCGGTCACTGGAAGTAATAATTCGCCAACAATATGTGGTCTTCCAATTCATCTGATATTTTCGTTCTCTTTCATTAGATCTACCGAGTGTGCCCAAATCTCTCTCATACCTTTCAGTCGAAGGTGGGCCTATTGCCGTCTTTAGACTTAAGCCTGCCGGCGGCGTGGGCAACGGCGACGATGGCAGCTGAGAGCAATGCCAGTCCTGGCTGCATCGAGCACAGGGCGTACGCTCGCGTGGGGCTTCTCGGTAACCCCAGTGACGTCTACTTCGGCCGCACCATCTCCTTCTCGATCGGCAACTTCTCGGCCTCCGTTCGCCTTGAGCCATCGGAGAATCTCGTCATCCGCCCGCACCCTAAGCATGACCTCGTCTCCTTTGATTCGCTGCGCCATTTGGTATTTTCTCTATCGCTGTCTGGATTCGATCTCTTTGATCTGATTGTGATTGGAACTTGCTGATGTGTTTACCATTGTTATCTTATTAATGTTTATTTGACTGCTTGAAGTTAGTAAACATGTTATTAAAAAATGTTGGAATTTGTTAGATCTATCACCTGGTTTGATGATGTTTGAAATTGACATTGATTTTGTATTGGTTTATGTTTCGCGGACCCTCAAAAACATTTATTTCATGTTCATACCCAAAATGGCTGAAAAAGTAGAGCATCAACATTTTTTGTAACATATTTTCTATCTACAAGCAACCAAATGAAATTCTATCCAGGCTTGTCTGCTTTGTGCAAATAAAAAAAAAAAAAAAAAATTTTTTTCAAAAAAAAAAAAACATTTATTTCAAGTTCATACCCAAACTGGCTGAAATTGGAGATCATCAACATTTTTTGAAACATATTTTCTATCTACAAGCAGCCAAATGAAATTCTATCAGGGCTTATCTGCTTTGATGCAATTTAAAATCCACATGAAAGTATAAAACATGCTTTTGAAAGTTGAACGACCCCATTTGGTTGCTTGTATTAGCAATCATGTTTTTTAAAAAAAATATAATTTTACTAGCTTCCATTAATTGGTTTGATGCAATTAAAAATCAATATTGTTATCAACTCTGCAAACATGTTCAAATCCCCTCCATGTAATGATTTCAATCTCACACACAAAATGAGTGAAAAAAATTATTACTCTCTGAAGCATGTTTGGAACTCATCTTAATATTGAATTCTAAATCCATAATTTGAGGTACTCTCATGCCAAATTTTATTCAATCTAATTGCAATTTCATTATCATCATTTTGTAAGTGAAAATTAACTCCTTAAGTTTAAGGGATTTAAAATCGGAATCCACCTTGATTTCTAATAATGTCCAATAAACTAAATGATGTAAAAAAAAAAGATTTATATCTACAAGCAGGAAAATGAGATTTTAGAGGGCTTTGATAAAGTTTATAGGGTTTACTTGTAAAGGATTGGGTGATTGCAAATCAACTCAAGAGTTTCTCGGGCAATTTTACTTTCTGCTTGTTTTTTAACTAGATTTTCAGGAGATACCAAGGATTGGTGATTTTTTTTTCATATAATATAAGAAGTACTTCTACGGATGTAAATTGCAGATGGACGTGCGAAATGCATGCTTATTTGATCTCGGCAAAGAAATTTCTCATTTTTCCTGTAATACGTTTAAATGGCAAGTGGAAAATTGATGTTTTATGTCTAACTTCCATTTAGATTATCTTGAGCTTTTGAGGAATAACACATTAGTTTACTTTTTGAACTTCACTTGACTGAGGTATTGCTTATGTTGATTTATGAGGTTTTGCTTATGATATCAGATAATAATGATTTTGAGAATGCATGAGTCACTTCAATTGCATTGAGACATTCATCACTAGTAAATGGTTACATATACAGATTTCCTGCTGATTTTTGTAAGCAACATTGCCTATTGTGGTTTGGCATTATGAATTCTTTTTCTTCATGCAGTTCCTGTCAGGTGCTGCATTTGATTCTTATTTCTTTTGTAAATTGATGTGCTATGTTTTCCCTGCAGGTATCTCGGTTGCAAAATGAAGGATATTATGGAGGCGTGCGCTTACTGATGGCAATCTGCAATGTTTTCTATAGATACTGCTCTGATAAAAATATTAAGCTAAAGGAGGGAAATTTTACATTGTCCTATGAGACAAATATTCCTCGCCAGGTGGTTTTGTACTAACATCACTTTTTCATTCATGTTGAACTAAAATCACATTTTGAACCTCTCTTAAATAATAGGCAAAATCACAATACAGTTTTTTTTTTTTTTATGTTAGGCTTATTTGGTAATTATGTTATGCTTTTACAAAAAGATATCTCTGGAAGAAAAAAAAGGAGAATATTTAATTGGAGATATTGATAGAGGTAGAAAGTTTTAAAAATATTCATGCTGGATATGAGTTTGGAATGACTAATAAAGATGGCAGGACAATATTATATTTTTCTCTAGTTTACTTTTTTTTAATTGCTAACATCTTAATTAAAAAAAAAGAGAGGAACATCTCATTACTTATAAGAATGGATATAATAAAACTCAATTTGATTATTTTCTTTTAAGAAAAATAGATTGTTTTTGTTGCAAAGATTGTAAAATTATTTCGAGTGAAAGTTTATGTACACATCATCGCTTATTAGTTTTGGACTTAAAGATGAATGAGCTATATATATAAAATAAAGTAAAATTTTATTCTTAGGATTAAATGGAGCCATTTAAAGAACACAAACAAAAATATTTTTGAGAGTTACATGAGAAAGCTAATATTGTGTGAGAAAAAATAGCTTCTAATATTAAGAATGTTGCATGGTATGTTATTTCATATTCTTGATCAAAAGTAAAAAAAAACTTCTAATAGTAAAAATAATTGGTGGTAGAATCAAATATGCAAGAAAAAATTAAAAATAAGAAACTTTGTTAGAAAATTTGATTTAGATGTAAAAAAACTCAGAAAATTAGAAAATATATTAAGAGGCTCATAAGGAGTCTAAGAAAATAATATGCGATGCAAAGAATTTAGCTTTTAATGATTTATATAGTAGATTATATACTAATGAGGTTGCTTTGGTGGATGAATGACTTTACTCTTAAAGACATGATATGAAATGAGCATATACGTGAAAAGGTTGGAGTAGCTCTAGTGGAAGATAAGATTAGAGAGAGTCACCTTAGATGTTTTGGTCACATAAATGACGGCCTTCCGATGACCCAGTTAGGAAAGTAAATGTATTCGATTTGATTTATATTAAAAACAGTAGAGGTAGACCTAAAAAGACTTGGTTAGAAAATATTAGAAATGATCTTTCTATATTAGATTTATATGAGAATTTAACTCTTAACAAGACACAATGGATAAAAAGGATTCATGTAGCCGACCCCACATAGTTGGATAAAGGCTTGTTGTTGTTGTATTAGATACTAATGAGGGCGAAAGATTGATGTAACAAAAAAATATAGGGGACCCTATATTTTTTGATCACGAAAAGAAAGACTGATTTCCTATATAAAAGAAGACACAAAATACCTCAAAAAGAAGAGATAACTTAAATAAGACTAAGCAGCGGAAATTAAAACTACAAACGATGATTTCAACAACTTAAACTCTTACAAACTTGACTCAACCAAATAAAATAAAAAAGATACCCTAAAATTGCTGCACTTGGAAGAAAGATACAGATGGAGTGGCACTTGCGGAGAGACGAAATAGGTTAGAAGCCCGAGAAGAAAGGTTGGAAAGAGTCCGCAGGTTTTCGGAGGGGATGAGAAAGAAGGGTGGAAACAGCCCGCAGGATTTCCAAAGCAAACCCGCAGGTTAAAGCTTATCCAAAAATAACATTTCATAACATATTTAAAACATTACATAACCCCCATATATATAGGTATGAAAGGGGAACACAAAGAGACACTAACAATTAATTCCCATAGGAATTTTAAACATCACAAACATTAAAAACTTAATTGCTTTGCACGGAAAAACAACCCAAAGCCAAGGAACCGAAGGGACATCCACGGGAGACGAGGAAGCCGCACGGAACTAAGGAGCCATGGCCACGGGAAACAGCCCAGACACGGAAAACCAGCAGCCGGCCGGAGATCCAAGAGGCAAGGCACGTAAAACGGTAGCCCAAGGGAGGAAGCCAAGGAGCCACCGCATGGGAAAAGACATTTCTTGGAATTCCAAAGGTCGGTTTGGAATTCCAAGAGACATGTTTGGAATTCCAAGAGACAACAATAATTAAAAACATAAAAAGCATAAAAAGAACATTTAATATAAGATAATAAATGAACTAAAATGTTAGCTAATAATGAGCTAACCCTTAGTTCAATAAGTGAACTAAAGACCAGCTCATAAATGAGCTAAAATTTCAGCTCAATTTTGATTGAGCTAGTAGACTCAAGGGAAGCCAAAAATCATATTATTTTGGACATGAGTTGACCCCCCCTTTGTCCACATTAAAGATATATGCATAAGTTAGCTAAGAAAAGAGATAAGAGAAGTAAGGATTTAGTTTAAGTTAAGTGCATTAATGATGAAGATAAAAAAATGCTTTTATTAGAAGAAGATATTCAACAAATGTGGGTGTGATTTTTTTATAAGGTTTTCAATGAAGATTGTGAAAATAAGATTGACTTTAGTGACGAAAATAAAATTTTTATTTTTATCTGTGTATTAGTAAAACTGAAGTTAGAGAGGCTTTAAAAAACCTGAAGTATGGAAAAACTATTGGACCTCATGATCTTCCTATAGAGGTATGAAAATGCTTAGAAGAAAAAAAAGAATTTTTTGGCTTATAAGAAATTTCAAATCTGAAAACAAAAAAGATGCTAGATGAGTGGAGGAGGAGTGTTGATTCCTATTTTCAATAATAATAAAGGTTATGCACAAGAGTGTGCGAATTATAGAGGAATTAGGTTAATGTGTCATACTTTAAAACTATGAGAAAGTTATTGAGCGTAGGTTACAACATGATACTAATGTTTCTCAAAATCAATTTGGATTTATATTGGGTAGGTCTACTATGGAAGCTATACATTTATTGAGAGGTTTGATGGAGAAGTATTGAATTATTGATGGAGACGTATAGAGAGAATAAGGAGGATCTACATATGATATTTATTGATTTAGAGAAAGTATATAATAAATTTCTTAGAGAAGTGCTATGGAGAGTTCTAGAAAGAAAGGGGTTAATATGCTTATATTCAAGTCATTAAGGATATATATGCAAGAATTGTTACTTGTGTTCAAACACAAGGTGGTTTGACCAAGTATTTTCCTATTTCAATTGGATTACATCAAGGCTTATCTTTAAGCCCAAATCTTTTTGCTTTAGTCATGGATGTTCTTACTAAACATTTGCAAGAGGATGTACCCTGGAGTATGCTTTTTGTTGATGATATTTTTTTGTTGATAAGACTAGGAGGGAGTTGACGTTAAACTTGAATTATGTTGGTCAACCTTAGAGTCTAAAGGTTTTTGTTTGAGTAGATCTAAAACCAAATATATTGAGTGTAATTTTAGTAGTAATTGTTCTAGTGGGGGATTGTGACTTTGGGCAATCAAGTCATTAATATGAGTACACATTTTAGATATCTCGGATCTATTGTTCAAAGTGACGGTGAAATAGATGGGGATATTATTAGTGAAATTCAAGTTGTATGGTTAAAGTGGAGGAATGCATCCGACCTGTTGTGTGATAGAAAAGTACCCCTTAAACTTAAGGGAAAATTCTATAAGATGGTGGTGAGACCGGCAATGTTTTATGGTGCAGAATATTGACCATTAAGAGAAAAGCATAAAATTAAGTTAAGTGTTACAGAGATGAGGATGCTTAGGTTGATGAGTGGCTTTACTCTTAGATACAGAATGCAAAACAAGCTTATACGTGAAAAGGTTAGAGTAGCTCCAGTGGAAGAAAAGATTAGAGTGTCACCTTAGATGGTTTGGTCACATAAAATGTCGGCATTCCTATGAGCCGGTTAGAAGAGTAGATGTATTATATTTGGCTTATGTTAAGAAAGGTAGAAGTATACCTAAAAAGACTTGGTTAGAAAATATTAGAAATCACTTTTTTTTTTATTTGTTTTAAATAATAATTTGACTCTTAATAGGATACAATGGAGAATAAAGATTCATGTAGCTGACCCCACGTAGTAGGATAAAGACTTGTTATTGTTGTTGATCTTTCATTCATGAACTATTACTAATGTTTGAGAAATGATTAATACTCCTGCTGCCATCATTTATGCATGAATCCTTGTAAAATCACTCATATTGTGCTCATACATTTGTTAGGATGATCAGCAAGTTCATTTAAATGAAGTATTTTACTAAAACAAGAAGAAAAGTATAAAAAAGTGTTTATTCTGGCTTAAATCAGTAGTTTTATTATTTTGCCACTACGCATCTTTTTTAGAAGAAATATCATTATATCAAACTAATTGTGTTTTTTTTCTTTTCTCAAAACTAATAGAAACTTATGCATTTTCTAAGAAAGGAATTATGAGATTTTTTTTTTTGTGGGGCTTGCTCTTGTTGATCGATTAGTTAGTGTGGCAGAAATGAATGTTAAGAGTACGATTGTCAACTCCAAACAATAGAGATGAAACTTATTATTATTATTATTATAACGCCAAATTTAGCTGCATAAATAGATATTTTGTTACTCAATCAATCTTGTACTTAGCAGCCCGGTCAAATCTTGCGTATTTTTCTTTCTCGAATTCTGCTCTCTAATTTAGTAAGGAAATCGACCTTTTTTATCCTAACTGTCGTTTTACTTAATTCAAAGAAGTGAAATCACTTTTTCATAAGTTGTCTGCTTATGTACAGATTTGACATGTTATTTATGCAGTAATTGGACTTCTTAGGCATCATCATCCAAATTTCTATAGCCAGATTGTATGTTCCAGTGTGATATTTATAAATAAATTTATTATTACTTGTCCTGCACATATAATGGAGTCAAATGTTTTCAGAAGATAGTGCAAATAATCTCAACTTTCTATTATTAACATGATATCATTGATTTAGAATTATCTCCACCAAAATACTACAATTTTTTTTGCAATTCTTTAATTCTACGCATATCTTAGTTAATGTGCCTAGCATTTCTTCTTGTGAGAGTGGAGCAAGTAGATAAATAATTGCTAATTGAAGAATCTATATGTCTATGATGTGCCTTGGAAGTAAAATCAGCAAATAAACAAACATGAAACTGCAGGAATATCAAAACGATGGGTGATATTGTATTAATACTTCAACAAAAAAAATAAGATACAATTGATCTATAATTCGAGAGGTAGATCGGCTCTTCGGAACAATCTAGATGCCGCTAGGAAGCCTCCAAGAAAAGAACTACAGCAGAAAAAATCCAAAAGATGCATAACCCTAACATTAGGGCAAATCAACTACTTGAAGCATACGATAAACAACAAATATCAAAGCAGCACTCCGCTAATTTCCTCCCAAACCAATCCCAATTCTCCCTTAATTTCCTCCCAAATCAGCCCCAAAATCAGCCCTCTTTCCTTACTTATTTCCCTCTCTTATTTGAATTCAATTTGGAATTATTTTCTAATTAATCCCCTTCTAGCCGTCCCCTCCTTGCATTAATTCTCTGGGCCCCACCCCGATGGGGGCGGATTGCACTTGGGGTGGACCAGGCTTCAGCTTAAGTAAACAAGGGCTGGTCCCTTCCCTTGTGCTGAACCGGTTGGACTGGTCCCTTATGGACCGGTCTAACAATCTATGTTCCTTTTATTGATTTCAGACTATCAAGAATGACACATCTTTCTTATTTGTGTAACTTTTGTCCTTGATCAAGTGTAATACCTAGGCGCATCTAATCTGCCAAAAATAGAAACTAGAGTGGCAAACATGCAGCCTTTCTAAAATTGAAAGGATGAAAACATTAAACTTATGTCACACCTAATCATGCTGAAGATTTGAGAAAGAGAACCACTCACTATTGTGGCTATGGCAAGCTATGATTTACATATGCATTCTTTTCAGTATTTTAGTTAGTGGCTGAACCACTCACTATTGTGGCTATTTAGGCAGGACTTTCAGGTTCAAGCGCCATTGTGTGTGCTGCTCTAAACTGCCTCCTTGACTTTTATAAAGTCAGACATCTTGTAAGAGTTCAAATTAGGCCTGATCTCATTCTTAGTGCTGAGAGGGAGCTTGGAATAATTGCTGGTCTCCAGGATAGAGTAGCACAGGTTTATGGGGGTCTTGTTTACATGGTATGTTATTTCATATTCTTGATTAAGCATAATCACAAATATTTACTTTCGTTTATCACATGGAGATGCATATTTGAGCTCAACTTCTAGTCTGCCTACTGTATTGATCCGGACAATAAAATTTTACAGTTTTACTTCAGGATTTTAGCAAGGAAAATATGGATAAGCTGGGGCATGGTGTGTACATTCCCATGGACATCAAACTTCTTCCTCCTCTCCACCTAATTTATGCTGAAAATCCAAGTGACTCTGGGAAGGTTAGTTTTCTGTTATCCTTTTCATTTTCTTTTTGTTATAAAAGCCACATTTTCTCATTGATGTGTACGATCTGCATATATGCTATATGCTGTTAATCTTAGAACATTTCTTTTTCTCCATGTAAACCGTAAAGCCAGATGTTATCTCAACTTTCTAGAGCAGTTGTAGTATGGAGCAGGAGGAATATAAAATGTATTTTTAAGCAAACTTTTTCTTTATATATATTATGTACTATGTTAATACTGCTCAAGGGTGAGGCCCTTTCATTCATCTTCTACTCACAAGGATTAAGATACATGGCTGTCAGTCATCCTTGGTTTGTTACCAGCCAGAAAAATTACTAGCTGTGAAAAACCTTGTTTTACTATTTTATTAAAAAGAAGACGGAGAGGTTAGGGGGAGATCTTTCACTTTTTACCGATTAGGTGGTTTAAATTTTATTTGTTTGCATGTGTATTTATATTTGGCCTATGTTAAGAAAGGTAGAGATAGACCTAAAAAGACTTGATTACAAAATATTAAAAATAACCTTTCTTTATTAGATTTAAATGAGAATTTGACTCTTAATAAGACACAATGGAGAAAAAGGATTCATGTAGCCGACCCCACGTAGTGGGATAAAAGCTTGATGATGTTGTTGTTGATGTGTATTCACTAATTTATCTATCTTCACATGCTCTTGTGCTGTCAGGAAGGGAAGCTTTGCATTCTAAGCTGATTTTAATCCATCATTTTGTGATTTGCCTTCCTTCTTTGTTTTCATGCAGATCGACATGCTTGCATGCTATAATACTAATTATCGCTCTTATATTTGAACAACAAATTGGCTAATAATGTCACACTTTGATGTGGATCAAACTATTACTAGAAGTTATAAACCTTATACGTACTTTGATGGGAAAATTGCTAAAACCTTGGAACACATCACAAGCATAGGTGGCGCGAAGAGGTCTTTTTTTTAATCTCAAATGCTAACGTCTTGCACTACAACTTCATCATTACCGTCATTTTATCCCTCCACCCTTCTGGCACTTAATTTTCAAAATTCTTTCCTTTTCTATAAGCAGTTTAGAATTTTTTTTTTCCATTTTGTAATACAAAATTTTAACGATGACTTGTTGCACTAGTCCATCTAATATCAACCAATATCTCATGTTCGTAGATGAACAACATCAATTTCTGCATGCTTCGCAACACATTGGATAATGGGTGTTTCTAGGATGCTTGATTACATTTTTGGATCCACTATCCTGTGTTTAATGCAATTTAGTTCTTTTTATTATGTTAACCATCTTTCTTTTCATTTGTAATGAATTATTATTTTTCACATGCATGAAATAATAAAGCTTGAATTTTATGCATGAGACCAATATAATTCAACCCTACGTAGAATAGGAATATTGGATCATGCTTTATGCATATTGTCACGTCGTGAAATTTAAAGTGAAAGAGTTTTTTTTTCTTTTTCCCTCTTTATTATATTTTCATTTGACAACTAATGATCAATTATTTACAACAAGATCAAATTACATTAAGATCAGTTTGACATCTATACTTTATTAATGGCATTAAAAAAAATTAATAAACAACGGAAAATATAATTCACATTACTATACTTGTCAATATTTATATTTTGATTTTATTTGAGGAGCATGATGCTTGATTAAATTAGGAATAGGAACAAAGTATTAAATAAAATTTTAAAAGAAACAAACTAGCCAAACAAAATTATGCATTCCATTGAATGCACCAAACTATTTGGCGTATTTAGAATGCGCCAAATAGTTTGGCGCATTCAATGGAATGCACCAAATAGTTTGGCGCATTTCATTGAATGCGCCAAATTGTTTAGCGCATTGCTACAGTATTTTTAAAATTTCATTCGACTGACTAGACTGAATGCACCAAATGATTTGGTGCATTCTAAATGCACCAAATCATTTAGCGCATTCTTTAGAATGCACTATTCTGTTTGGCTAGTTTGCTTCTTTTAAAATTTTTTTAGACTCATGATCCTATTGCTAATTTAAATTACACCTTATGCTCCTATTTATAATATTCCGTTTATATTTTGTTCGTAGAGTCTAAAATAATATGTACAATAGACTTTTTAGGCTATAAAAGAATTTACATAAACTAGAAGAACATAAAGAAAACTAAAACATCATTAGAGCTAAACTTCAATCCACAGGCTGCTTATCTTTATCTGAAATCATATAAAACCACGTAGTAAGTAAATAACCTAGCAAATAACTATTACAAATGAAATCAATATAAGACAAAAAATGTTTTAAATTATATAAGGAAATATATAAATCAATATATATGTTATATGTATCGATCACCTATATCAATTAATCATTATGCATTTATCATACAATCAGTTTCATTCAGTCATATCATTCAATCATCTTCATCAATCCATCAGTTATACACTAGTATCATTATCCATATTTCGTAATGGTAAGCAACAACGATAATTCGTATCCGTATTCAATAATCCATAATCAATATCAATAATCATTAATTAGTATCAATACAATGATCAATATTCTATCAGATATTCAGTTCAGGGTATCTTATATCTTGCTCCTGCACTTATGACTCCCAATCAACGCCTCTTATGACTTTGAATCAATGAACACCTTATAACTTCCATTGAATTACATGACAATCACCCTTACTCTTTATGACTCCCAATCAATCTCCAGCTTCTTATGATTCCCATCCATTGACTCCCATCAGTGGACCACGTGGATCTTGAGGATACCAAATGAGGTTATCATGTCATATATCTGACAATTAGTACATCATGTGCATACATCACATCAGTTTTATACTTGTAGCAATATTAAATTCTTGCATAACTCAATCATATCAATCATTTCAGTACATTTTTGTTTTTGCAGTCTTATTATATCAAATCACAGTACAACACTTTTCACTCATTTCCAATCTGCCTTTTTCCCTACTCATTTTACATAGAAATTCATATACACATATTTAACAGGGGAAAATGTAATAAAATTATATCAAATTGTTCAGAATGATCAAATCTATAACATATCAAAAGTTATATGGTGAAAACTTACAAAAGCAAGAGATAATGTATTTTTGGCAAATTTAGGAGCGATAAATCTGTAGAAATCAAAATAATCAAAAACAAAGTAAGATGATAGTTACTTACAATGATCAGAACACTTTTTACAACAAAAGCAATGGACGAAAATCAGCTTTCTCTCTCTTCTTCATCTCACTTCTCCCTTTCCTTCCCGAGCAAGTCATGGCGGAAATGGGGGAGGTGGCGGCACTGGAATACTTTAATGCTTAGTTTTAGAATATATATATATATATATAAACACTGCCAATGGTCTAGCATGTATTATATAGGTTTCTCTTTTAGTTTTTTGTTAGTTTATTTCTTTGATTTTGGACTTATCCTTGGTTTATTTAAAAAAAATGTTGATTCGATAGGCAATGCTATTTTACGGGATGGTAGATTAACTATTCTTATATTCATGCCGTTTAGGTTTGTGGCTATGAGGGATTTGCTTGGATTAAAATTGGGATAAAAGAAGGATTGGCTTGCGATTGCTTTGTAGATTCAAAATCAAGATCGTTGCTTTGGTTATTTGGGAATTAAAATTAAAATGAGTTTTAATTTAAATTTAAATTGAGTTTAATCCTATATCAATCTTTTTAAATATCCTATGTTATAAGGAGTCCATAATCAGTGGTTTGAGGCATGTAATTCATAAATTTTAGCTTCAACAAAATTTCTCTTTCTAGTTATTTCAACTTTGAGTCGTTACAAGTGAGATCACCTGGTTTTTGAGTAGTCATATGGCACCGTCAAGAGGCCTAATTTTTTCTTTTACTTAATTTCATTCATTTTCTATTTTTTATTAATAAATTGTTATTAACTAGTTTAGTACTCTTGATTTTGGCCAAAAAGCGACATAAAAAATTTAATTTTGTGAAAATTATTTCTTTTGTTTACGAATTTATGATCATTTCATTATCAATTGGATTTACACTCTAGTATCACATTTTTCCATCTAAAGATGGTAATTTATTGAAGTAATTGATTTCTAGTAATATGTCACTCAATTGTTTTCTGAGTCTATGCATCACATCAGTTGCATTAGTAAACTTAACCCTAAGTCGCTATGCATTAAATGCTTGTAAGAAAATTCTTTCTTTTTAAGAAAACTTTTGGTTACATCTTTTCCTCATTAACTATTCATTACCTCTCGGAGAAATTTGAGTAATTGAAGATTTATATACATGGAGCTACTTTTTCAAATGCAGCCAAATTCTAGAAGGTATTGTGATGAAATAAGAAGTATGATGTAAATTTCAAGTTTCTTTTGTTGTTAGTCTAGGTCTTATGTACACTTTAATATTTATGGCTTCGTGTTTATTTTATTTCTAATAAATTACATATGCCCAAACTGCATATAATTTAAATTGAATATGCTAAAATTAACTTACAATGAAACCAAACTTTTTAATAATGAATCCCTGGACTCAGCGGATTTGAATCAAATGAGTTTGGGTGATTAAAGAATATGCTTTCAATTAAAAATCGGACTGTGATCTTTGTAGCTTTTGTGACTCCAAATTAATTTCAGGTTGACCTAACATTTGTTTGAAATTAAATCAGGCCAACAAAACTCAAATCAAATCAAAATTGTTTAACTTTATTATAACATGGTCATGTTGTTGATACTTATTGAAATATATTTTCAAATTAGGCATTTAATTAATAGAAAATTTTGAAATAAATTAGTTATAAACATAAATTTGGATAATGAAGCTATAGGCGATACTCTTAATTATAGGTTTATTATATAAATATATTTTATCTTATAATATTTAAATTCTATTATTTTTTTTTAATTTGCCAATATCAATCTCAAGTTTAGATGAAAAAAATTTAGAGTATTTTTGAAATATCATTTTTGCTTACACAAAAAAAATGCTTGGCTCCACCCCTGCACATTAACCTCTCTATTTTTTTACATTATTCATTAATAATTGGGCTATGAATAAAAATGCATTAACAATCCATTTAATATTATTGAATATTATTGAAGTGTGAACACCCACACAAGAGGGATAACTAAATAAGAAATTGAAAATTAATTGCCATCCTTTTATCTTCAATAAATTTATCATACAAATGACCATCAAATTAAGACCCATGATTTAGGTATTGTTATAATTATGTCACGTGACTGAGCTTATGAAGTTAAGGGAATATAGTTATTTCTATGAGAATGGCTAATTTTGTTGTAAATTGATTGAAAAAGTTAGTGCTCCCTGTCTTGTGGGTTGTGTCACTTCTTGCATGCATAGCATGATTAGAAAGTCGAATAATATATTGAAAATTTTAAAACAAACTTAGTTAAAGATCAGCTATAATGTTCAACTTGATATACTAGTAAATATTATTAGTTGGAAAATGTAAGCACATTTGCTTATTTGCTAGTAATATCTTATATGCATAGATACCAAACCAAAATCTTGAGAGGAAGTAGACGATAAAGAAACAAACTTTCTGTAGAAGTATCACAACAACCTCCCTCTATTATTGCTCTTTATGTCCTTTTCCTTCCATTGTTTTAACTGCGTTATGAATAGTCAAATTGGGATAGCTAGGCTTTGACTTACCTTGTATCTCTATTTGGACAAGCGATTTCACGAAACCCCCGAAAAGGGTTACCTGAAAAAGTGATTCTGCCAACAACAAAAACAACATGAGAGGATCAGGATCAGATAAGCAAAGAATTTTTGATGCAAAATTTAGTATTTGATTTAATATTTTACTTTTGTATGCAGAATTTAGTATTAAAAATATATATACTATATGGCCCCTTCTTTGCATGTATTCTACTATTATTATATTAATTATCCAGTGTTATTTTCTTAGGAATAGGTTCTCTCAAATTTTATTGCAGCCAAGTTTTGTACTTATTTGAAGCTGAAATCATTGAAGGGGTTGTTCTGTTATCTAATACCTATTTCAACAAAAAACCACTATACTGGAAAAGCCAATCTTCCTTTTGTTGTATGCTGTCATACTTGTGGATACACACTGCTTGCTTGATTCTCTTTTTTGGTGAAAGCTACCATATGGCCTTCATTCAACCTAAAATTCGGTAACGATTCATTAAGATTTCTAAGGTTGGTACACCAGATTGCATGTACAAAGACTATTCGTACATGATTAGTCTCATTCATTTAAAGATGATTATTTTGTAATTTGAATGGGCTTTAGTTCATTGGGTTCCATATGTTTTTCGTTGAAAACTTGCATGGATAAATTTCTTTGGGATTTTTGATATTATTCTTCGGTTGCTTCCTGTAGGTGCATAACACAGTCCGCCGGAGGTGGCTAGATGGCGATAAATTTATAATATCATCAATGGAAAAAGTTGCAAAAATAGCACTAGATGGTCGTGAAGCTTTGACAAAAAGGAACCACTCTGAACTTGCAAAACTAATGGATAGTAATTTTGATCTTCGAAGGTAAAAGAAATGATACATTCTATTAGCTTTGGAAATTCTATTTTATAGAAACATTATTCCTTTGCTTCAATATTAGACCAGGCTAGCGTTTTTTCATCCATATTATTTGCAATTAAACATATAACTCAGTTAAATTTTATAAAGTCATAATTTTGCCCATAATGTTTTGGATTGAAGTGTTAGGCAATAAAAAGTTACTAATATCCAAGTTTTACATGTTAGAAATGAGAATATTAAAATATATTCATGGCAAAAATTAATAGAATATAAGTGACTTCAATTGAAGATTGGATAATTAAAAATAGACTTAGATGATTTGGATATTTATCACAAATGACTTAAAATGCGTTCATTAGTATAATACATAAAATTATCAAAAGATTAAGAAGGAGAAAAGATTGATCTAATATAACATAAATAGAAGTTCAAAATGATTTTATCTTTCGAGAAATTATTTTGTGCGGACACTGGACGGAGAGAACCGTCCAGATTTGCTGTACTTTTGCTACCTGTTTGTTGCGATTTTGCAGAAGGGCAGTAAAAGTGATGAGGACATCGTCAGAGATTTCGACACATGTACCATCAAGAGACGCCAGAGATCGACGGCCTCAATCATGAGTTTTATTTTGAGTCATTTTATGTAGTAGTTTATTTGATTTTTATGTGTTTTCGTTTTTGCCCTTATGGGTATTTAGTCGCTATTGTAGCCCAAGGGGCATTTTAGTCTTTTGTTTTCTTTGTCATTTGGTGGCCTATATATATGGCCATTTTCTCCTGTTATAGTAGTTTTTGATGAATGAAAATTTGCCACTTATGTTCTCTTTGTGAGTTCACCCTCCTCGATCTCTTAGTGAGTTCGTAGGAGAAACTAGATCTCTTTGTGAGTTCTAGGTTTTCTTGTCTTTCATTTTTCTTTAGTTCTCTTGATCACTTCGTGTTGAGAAGATTTGGATTGAAGCCGCTAGTGGGAGATTGGATTTTCGTGCTTTGGATCCCGAGAATTTCCCCCACACTCTCTCCTCCCTTGCTCTTGCCGCCGTCCCCTACCTGGATTGCCTAGGCCGCCGGCCTGCAGCCCCAACCGCCGGCCAGCCCTTCCCCAGCCCGCCGGCTCCCTTTCCCCCTTCCGGCCGCCACCTCCTCCCCACTCTTTTGAATTTCGAATTTGAAATTTGAATGTTTTATGAGCCATTACTTGTTTCCTAATTTAGCTCCTTAATTTTAGGCAATCAATTCAATTGAGTTTCAATTTCAAATTTGAAATTCAAATTGCTCCAATTGATTGCCCTCAAATTAGAAAGATATTTCCCCTTATGAAATCTGAAATTTTATTTCAGATTTTGTAAAAATCTGTGATTAAGTTTGTGGTCCCCATTGCATTAAACCCAAGCCCTCTCCTAGTCATGTGGCCGGCCCCTTAATGGCCTCCTCTCTCTCTCTTAATCACCTTAATAACTCCACAAATCAGCCACCCCTTTACTCTCCTTAATTACTTGGGGTTTGAAATTCGAACTCCCTCCTAATTCCTAATTCATCAAATCTGAAATACATTTCACAATTTCCCTCCTTGGCTTCCTAACTACGGAGCCCAAATCTGGCCCAAAGCCTTGCCCCTTCCTCCACTTGTTAGCCCGTCCAGATCTTCCCCGTGATGGCTGAAACAGAATTCCTTCTGGAGTGATCCTGTTGTCCAGAGTTTGAGACGTCTTCATCATTGAATTCTAGCCCAATACCTTTGCAAAACTGCTGCTCCAGGAAGGCCCCATTGCTGTCCACAGATTTCTGCGGGCATATCTACACATTATCTCTCAACCCAAAGGTTTCCGTTGCCGTCCAGAATTCCATAGCTATTCCAGGTTGCTGTCCAGACTATTGAGGCTAAGGGGATTGCTGATTTGAAGGACGAACCAACGTCCTTGAATCCCCTTTCTTCGACGTAAACTTTGACGTGGATTCTTCCGTGGAGGATTACTTAAATCACATCTTGTTCACGCTAGTTGGATGCTCACTAGTCATCCCGTGGACTACCCGCCACCGGCTACCACTCCAACGGACTACACTTTGTGTGCCATTTGTCTCCTAGTGGCATCGCTCGGTTGCTCTCAATCTTCCTCCAATTAAAAGTGCCACCAACAAGAGAGTGAGTGAGAGACCCAAGGTGAAAAGTTCTATTTGTTAATTGTGGATTATTGTTTCTCTCAATAACATTACTATGTAATTATATGTTGTCAATTTGATATTGTCTCATTAATCTAGTTGTAACCACATGCCTTACTTAATTTCGACTTGATAATTCCGAGAACCTAACTTGGGTAAGCATTAATTCTACAACTAGCAAAGCTTTATCAATCTTATATTAAAATCCCCAAGCAGTTCTTGTTTCCATGCATATGTTTCACATCAAAAAGGGTAGAAATATTCAGTTATGAATGCATTTTTGTTGCATTTTTACTGCTCTTCAGCAAAAGCACAACAAATATTCAATTATTTAGTAAATATTAAATATTTGCTGACCTTTTATTGCCCTTTTGAAAAGCGCGATAAAAGGGCAGTAAAAACGCAACAAATCCGGATCGTTCTCTCCGTCTGGTGTCCGCACAGAATAATTCGTCTTATCTTTCAGGCGATAATCTGTATGAACAAATGAAAAATAAGAATTCATAAAACCAATTTCAAGTAGTTGGGGAAAAGGCCAATTATGATGATTGTTATCTGCTACAGTTTCTTAGAAAGTGATACAACTTGAAATTTATATAGTTGATTTCCATTTCTATTTTTTGTCAGGAAAATGTTTGGAGATGAAGTGCTTGGTGCTCTAAATATACAGATGATTGAGACAGCTAGAAGTGTAGGTGCTGCTGCAAAGTTTACAGGAAGCGGTGGTGCTGTGGTGGCATTCTGCCCTAAAGGGCCGGAACAAGTCAAGCTTCTTGAGGATGCTTGCCTGAAGGCTGGTTTTCTCGTGCAGCCCATTTTAGTTGTCCCCTCTGTTCTTGCAGACGAGGATCTGGCGATGATATCTTGCTGATAGCGTCTTGTCAGCTAATATTTTTTAGTATTTTTGCTTTGCTTTGAAGTCTTAAGGTTTGCTTGGGATTATTTTTTTTAAATACATATTTATTTAATACATTTGTAACTATTTTTTATTTTTAAAACAAATTTAATTATTTTTAAAACACGAAAAATAACTTGATCAGGTCAACCCCATGTTGGTCCTGATATACACTAGCACAGCTTCAGTCACGTTTTTTTTGGCCGCATCTTCGTTGAGACGTAACACATTTTGTTGAACGTTGTTCGATTTGTTTGACGTAGAAGGCCGTGGTTCAAAATACATGATTGTATTTTCCTCTACTGGTTTCTGATTCGATTTGAGTATTGATTTTGTGTTGGGACTTCCCAGAACCAAGTATGGAGCTTATTCAATCATGATTGTTGTCGACAGATTTTTCAAGATTTGCATACTTCATTCCATCTTGCAAGCCAACCTGTAAAGCAACTTATGATCTTTTGCAAGTAATTTAAAATTTTCATTGCATGAAAATCATTCGATTTATACTATAAACAACCACGAAAGAGGAACATAAATTCAAGCTCCACTAATCCACAGAACAAGAACAGAGAAAGCATTTAGTCAATTGTCATTTGTCAACAGCACCGATAATACTTTTAATTACATAATGTTTTATGTATTTCGAAATACCAGAAAACACCAGCCATCCAAATCAACAATCTCATAAGCCTTTCAAACATTAAAAGAAAAAAAAAAAAAAAAACCCAGCTTTGAAAAAAAAAAAAACATTCAATGCTTGCAGATTTAGCTACTATGAAGCTGCTCTTCCATGTCATATTCAAGCAAAAAAAAAAAACGGTAAGATCTTTGTACCTTTTAATCCCCAAGTTTGGTTACTTGCTCTGCCAAATCGCAGGTTTTTCTACAAAAAAAAAAAAGAAAAAAAAAAAGAAAAAAGAAAAAAGAAAAAAAGATAAACTAAGCAAATATTGAAAAATCTAAACTCTTAGAACATCTTCAACCGAAAATCCCATTTTTGCTCCAAAATATAGTGAAACTCAAAAATGTTGTGATTCATCTTCAATCGAACTCTATTTTATGAGCTTCTGCGAAGGTAATCGTCTTTCTCCTCTTTCGTATGTTTCTTCGGCAAAATCCAGTTGAGATAGAAAAATCGCGTAGGTGAACAGTGCAACGTCAATATTGGCGTCACACTGTTCACCCTCAACCAATTAGCAATTTTTTTGTCATCCGAATGGAGAAAACCAGCTATGCCTTACAGTTGTTTGGAATTTGACTGGAGACGCCCTTAAAGCACCATCAAACTCAAAAAATTCTAAGATAGAGTCTAGAGAAGCATAATAGAGATTCCAAATTTTACAGAGGCACAGAGGCCATGACGTCGAGCAATTAGGGCATTACTTGTGAGCCGTCGAATGTTAAAAACACAACATTTGTGAAATTTTGGAAATAATATAGCGTTTGATTTGAAAATAGCTATGTTAGGGGGATGGAGTTTTTTTTTTTGGATGTTTTTTAGAGGGGGGCCGTACCCCATCAACCCCCTTAATTTGATTAGATAAAAACATTTTATATATATATATATTACAATCTTAAGGCTTAATTTGATTGGGCATTTTTTGTGCTTATTATTTTTTAAAATGACAAAGTTATTTCTTTTTTATTGTTTGGTTCCTCAAATCACGTTCCTAATAACATAATTTTTTTTCATTTTTCTACTGTTTTGAAAAAGCTTTTAATATTTGCTTTCTCTTTTAAAAAACTTTTTTTTATGAACCATTATTTTTTAAAACTGTCTTTTACAACCTAAGAACCAAACGAAGCCTAAGTTAATTCAATCCTAAATTCAATTACTCATAATATATGCAAAGAATTCATGACTTGACTTCATAGTGAATATATATAATTGATATCTTTTATTAATTTACCATAATATCCTTACATTATTTATGTGAAAAGGTGCATCGTTAACAAATCCACAAAAGGAAACTCTTAACCGGCAGGAGGACAATACAGTCATTTCATAAATTTGGAGCGTTTACATTGGTTAATGGATTCTTGCTTGCTCACAGGTCCACGTTCGGCCATCGTCGTCAAAGGGTCAGACACCAGAGCGATCCTAAGAAGCCAATATCTCATACATGATACATACACCCAGAGCGTTTATATTCTTTTGTTAATCCCTTCCGTGAATTCTTTCTCTCTGCTCTTTGTTTTCTTCTCTTCAACGACGATTTCAGAATTTCCCATTTCTTCTTTGATTTCTAGAATTTTATGAACCTTTTGTCATTTAATTCGATTATGCTCCATTTCTTTTTTTAATTTTTTATGTTCTGGCGAGTCTTTTCCCCAAATCTTCCGTTTTCCTGATGTGCTGCGGCGAATTAGAAAGGCGGAGCCTTAGGTACCTTCTGTAGGTAAAATTTGGCGACTTTAGGGTTCTCTTCATCACTTTGTACCTGTAGATATCCTCTCGCAATTTTGTTCGGTCTTGGCGGGAGCTTGGATGCTGTCCACGGCGAATCAAGGAATCCAGCCTATGGCTGCGGTGGATCCCAATTCCATGGAGGTAACTCAATCGATTTTGATTCAACTTAGTTTAATTTTCTCTTTGGGAATCCCTGGAAATTTACTCTCTGCAACCTTTGAGGTTGACTTTCTGAGATGTATTGGTTTATTATATAAGGTATGATGAATGTATGATACCTGTACTATGGTTAACTGTTATCATTAATTAGCATAATTTGACTTAAAGGGGCTGGTGGTTGCTCTTAGTGGGCATGCGCCATCTAGATCGAGCAAACATATTGAGACTGTTACTGATTTAACATATATATTGTCGGCTTGGCATTTGTTTATTCGTGGGCCTATTTGTCCGTCGTGACCTGTATGTTACGTTTCTGGCGAGGTTTCTCCTGTATACCTCTTTAACTAGGGTTTTATCATGGATAAGATGAGTGACTATAATAACTTAACCTTTCTTATATTTCTGGAGTTCTGAATATTGGACATGCTTTCTGATTTGCACCGTAGGTGCTTGCAAAAGTTTAAATTATGGTCCAGGAAGATCTTGGTGATAGGATTCTCTATAAATTCATTGATAGGAACTTGTAAATTTAGAAACTAATATAAGTTTTAATATTTTCTAGAAGCTTCCAAAGTTTGTATCACAAAGCCAAAATATCAACAAAGAAAGGATAGGGTAGGGCATGGTTTGCAAATTACTAAAATGGAGGATTCAAATATAAAATTTCTGTTCAAAACTTGAGGATAAGAGGAGGGGTTGTTTTTTTTTTTAATTGGAAGGGGATCATGTCTTAAAGATCAAAGGTTAAATTCTAGGGAATATTCTAGCTTCCACAAAAAAAAAAAAAAGAGGAGGGGATAAGCAATTCTTCTGAAAAGGAGGGTGCGTACGCCATGAAAACCAAATTGCTTGTGCTAGAAAATAACAATTTGATGAAATCACAAGTAGACCAATGCTATTAGGATCCAATAATTTTAATGAAATTGCAATTTGACTATTTCTGTCGTATGAATGAGTATTGGAAACAAATAAATATTTGAAAACCAAATTGCATATGCTAGAAAATAAAATGTTAAATTGGATGTGTGGTAATAATAAATATACAGTGAAAAATCATCAGAGAGATGGAGGAGATGAGTAGCTGTTTGTTTGCCCATATTCAATGGATGATAGAAGTTGCATAAGAAGTGGATAGATAGAGTGCTTGAAAGGATTAGGAAAAGTTGTTATATCAAAGCTAATATTTTTAGAAGTCGGGAATAAAAGACTTAGATAAAAAAGTGTTTTAATTTTATTGAGCCCTCAATAATTACTACATAACATGACAAAATAAATAAAGCTCCTGATCGTGGCCGTCGATCTTCCGGTGTCTCCGATGGAACACATGTCGAAATTGCTGACGATGTCCTCATCAGGATCATACTGAGACGAATATTGAGCAAAATTTAGTAAAAGTGCAAAAATGGTTGGGTAGTGTAGCTGTTTCAGTAGAATTATTTGATGCTTTGATTTTCCATTGTGGAGATAAATTTAATAGTGATATGAGGCTAACAAGAAAACTGATATGGTGGTAAATGAGATAATGGTCAAGGAATGATAAACTTATATTATATATTGAGAATCTTGTTGCACGAATGCACTATCCTTAAGTTTTTAGATGAGCCATCTTCATGTAGTCTTGACATTAGACCAATAACATAGAATAACTATACCTTTAGATTTTCTGTTGAGATAGAATGAAGAACTGAAAAATGTTGGGGCAAGTTTTATTCTTTATCAATATTCCTACTTTAGGTTCGTAAAAGAGAATAAAGCAATGATTGTATTTTTTTAAAGATTGAAACCTGTCGGGTAGCATTTCTTACTTCAAGGAAATAATAGAAATTTGTTTATCAACTTTATTTTGAGAGAGTGATTGTAATTATGGAATATGGGACGTGTGACTAATATGCTTTATCAGTGATTGTGGAATATGCATGATTAGTTGAAGGCAACAACATGAACGAGTAGTGCATTTTAATTTCAACATTTATGACATCTTTTTATGTTTATATCTTATCGATGTTCTTTTTTTAATTTTATATTTACGGGCTGTTGTTACTCTTACTTATGCTAAGTCTCATTTCATCATTGGTACTGATTTGAAATGCCTTGTATACTTTCTAGAGGTCACTTGTTCAAAAACTTGATTCTAGTGTTAATAGTGCTTGTTTTACATGGTATTTTCATTCTAGGATAATTTCCTTCAAATATTTGTGTTGTATTCTATTAATATATTGACACTTTTCACCATCTTTTATCAGGAACGTTCTAGAGATGATGTGAGTCAAGGACATGCACCTGTAATTGCAGGTCATTATTCTTGGCCTGCATCAGCTGCGCCGGTGGCAGTCTCATGGAATTATGGGGTAAATAGTGGTCCTCTTGAAAATGCAACAACATCAACTTCTGTTCACAATTATGATCCACTGAGGGATTCAACTGCTTCTGAAGGTGCTCAGGTTGCAATGAATTCTTTGCCCCAAACATCTGCTTCATCTAATCTTGCTGCAACAAATGGAAGTCAAAGTTATGCTGGTTATGTACAACACTCAAGTTCTACCTATGCTTATGGGTATGGCAACATGCAATATCAAAGTAACTACTATGGTAACCCACATCAGGCAAGCTATACCTCTTATCAACAAGCGGGTACAAGTCAGAATTCAGGTGCTTCTTATCAGCCTCCTAGCTCATTTCAGAATACAGGCTCTTATGCAACTCCTACAAGTTATTCTGGCGCTTATTTTGCTAGTGATCATCAGACGACGGCAGGATACCCAACCAGTGGCTATTTTGACCAGAACAACTATTGGAATGATGGAAGTGGTGGTGGTTATTCACTTCAATATGCAAATTATCCATCCTCAGGTGCAAATTCGACCCCTTCAACTAGCAATGTAGCAACAAGTGCATATCCTTATCAACAGGAGTGTTATCAGTGGTCAACAAATTATGGTGCATCTGTACCAAATGTTAATTACACTCCTGCATCAGGAAGCGCGGTAGCTGGCATTGCTCCAACAACGACATATCCTGTTCAAAGTGCAAACGCTGGTTCTTTGTATGCAAGCAACCAACCACCACCTCCCGGCACCACATCTTGGAGAGGAGATCTGGGGCCTTCTACTTTGCCTTCTCCACAGGTTTGTTCTTGTTTAAAATCATTCTACAAAAGATTGCTTTCCAACTAGTCGATGATTTTTTTTTATTTTTTTGGTGTGGAGTTAATCTTTTGGAAGGACTTTTTGAAATTTAAAGTCTTATAATTTTATTCTGCTTATCAATTTTGATCTTCTTAAACATTTATCCTTTCCTTCAAAAATAATATTTTATCCATTCTTGAATCCAACTGTGATACTTCTTCTCAAATTAGATCTATTCTAAACTTCAAATATCACCAACCTTGGCAAAGAATAATTGATTATCATTCTCTTTAGAGGCGGTGCCTATTCAAAGTTGAGTGACCTGTCCTCAACTTGAAAAGAAAAAAAAAAATGGCTTACTTAGGTTCTAGTTGAGTCGAAAATAATTGATTTAGTTTATTTGAGCCGAGTCTCCTAAATTTAAAAATATTATGTAACTTTTTAAATTATATATAGACACACACACAAACGCATTTTTAGTTGAATCAAATTAATTTTGAACATTCCATCCTTGAGTCAAAACAATTCAATTTTTATTTCGAATCAGTTAAAATTTGAGCTATTATTGAACGAGTTTTAAGTTTCCAAAATAATTCAATTGTTTAATAACCATTTCAACATAAAGAAATGGAAAATGAGTATTTCAAAAGCTGATGCTCAATAATTTGGATAAAGTTTATGTTGATGATGATGAGGAATAAACATTTTGTTGTATTTTTTTAAATATTGGAATGTCTGGTTTCTGTAGTGTGGATAAAAAGAGCTGAACAACACTACAATGGGCTATTATACATTGAGAAACTTATACTTTTCTTGTGCATGTGGGCAATTTATTAAGTAATTAAGTAGCACTCCAACTTTTTTTTAAATATCATATGCAATTTATAGATCTCCTCCCAATGTTGTACTTGTTTACAAAAACGTAGAATATTTGTCTTGATAAATAATTATCTTAGTATTAAGATTGTGTTTAATACGTTTTGGTTTCAGTAGCCTTGTCGTTAATGTATGACATTTGCATGGTGGACTAGGGAGCTAAAATATGTTGGATCCTTGGGAATGGTAAAATCATTTACCATTAAGAATCATTAAAAAGTGATCGCACTTTGATAGGAATCTGATATCCTCACAGCAAAAACATCAATACCATAGGAAAACACTGTAGAAATCAGCAAGAAAGGAAGAGACTATGGGCTAATTATCTTTGATAAAGGCACAACAAACTAAGATACAGATAGATCAACTCTCCACAAACCTTAGGCACCGATAGGAACAAATCTAAAGAAAAACTACAACAAACTCAATCACATAATGAAAACTAAACAATCTAATTAGCCCTATATAGGCCTCCTTAATTCCCTCCAAAATCTCAATTCAAAACAACTCCTTTTCTTAAATAAATCTTTCCTAATTCCCTTTCAAATCTAAATTCAAATCAGTCACATTTTTTTAAATAAATCTTTCCTAATTCCCTCATAAATTTGAATTCAAATTAGTCCCCCTTTCCCTAAATAAACTTTCCTTCTCCCAATTTTGGTTTCCTATGGTAAGTAATTAAAGGTAGATTTATTCCTCTTTGGATCCCCCTCTTTCCTTTCCCGACATCCCTGCTAGTGGGGCCCACAGGCTCCGCCGACCCATTAATACTCCTCTCCCAAACAGCCACATTTCCCTCAATGTGGAACGAATGAAATTGCTGCTGAATCATATGGTACGATTCCCATGTTGTTATAGTCAGATAGATCCTTTCATTCGATCAACACTTCTCTCGCTCCTCTTGTTGTTGAGCGGACTTCTTTCACTTCCCTTGGCTCCGGGATTACCTCCATTTCTCTGTCAAGGTCATCGACAGCGTCGTTGATGAACTATGGTCGTCAATAAGTTTCCTCAAATGGTTCTCATAGAACACCAGGTTATGGTGGAAGTAGGGGGTAGCTGCAAACAATTCATCACAGCTCCATTCCTCTCCACCACTCCATAAAGCCCATAATATCGTGAAAATAACTTTTTATTTCTTCTTTGATCTAAGGTCTTATATCTGAGGGGTTAAATCTTCAAATACACTTTACCACCCACATTTGACTGCATGTTGAAAGACTTCAACCTCTCCTTTATAGTTTCCGTTGAAACTCCACTACTGTTGCCTCCATCACTTCCCCTAGGAACAACACCACCATACAAACTTTGGCCTTGAATAGAAAGAGATCGCAGAATCTTTGCCCAAGCTACCCGTTTGTATTGATTTGCATTTTGATGTACAGTTCTTCTGTGCCTCTGAACCCAATCATTACCCAATTAATCCTTTGCCTCTGATCTTGGAACAGGTCTAACCATGTAGTGGATGTTAGTCATACTGAATAGATAAGCCAACGTAGGATGCTTATATTGCTTAGACTTATCGTCTAGGTTACTTTGAAGAGCTTGTATAATTCACATTGTAATAGTTGTTATTTGAGAAGTTGAATCTTCTCCCACCTTTTTAAACTCCTGAAAAAAATTGCGTCAAAGTTGACTGATGATCAAATAAAAACTTTGCAGTTAATCACATAGCTAGTTAAAGGATGCACAATTCCATCCATCACGCCTGCTTTTATTGCATCTTCTTCCACCGCTTCCTTTAAATGACCAAAAGTTTCTTGAGCAGTCTGGGCTAAGCGCCTTGAAAGATTATGAGCAGTATCCCTCATCTTAGAACAAGTTTTTCCTTCAAATGTTCTTTCAATCTCAGAATGAAGCTCATGCATTATTTCATGCATGTCTAGAAGCACAAACAACTTCTCTGGTAGCCCCTTGCTTTTTGCTATAACATCCCCAAAACTAAAAAGCATTAACACATTGTCTGCTGTTACTTCAACAAAGCAGCGATCCTTAAACATTGATACCATTAAAAATTTGATCACATATTTTTCTCTGCAGCAAATAGGAGTTTCATAACAATCCTCATATAGTGAATCCAATTTCGAATTTTGGACTCTAGAATCTCCCATGGCATCTTCTGTACGTCTTCTTTACTGAGCTTTTCCACTCCACCTTGAATTGCCCTCACCATGTTTTTAATAGAAACCCTGGGTTTGGACTACTAGGACCCCCCCTGATCCTCACCTTCCTCCCTCCCACGAATTCCATAGTCAATGCCTTCCCGTTCACCTTGGTCTCGCCCAGGGTCTGCAACCACTTTATGCCTAAAATTACATATGGGCTCCCTAACTCCAAGGGAAGGAAATCCTACCTCACCTCAATTTCCTATAGTGTCACCATTAGCCTTAGACAGATGCCTCTACTCTTCTCCACCTTCCCTGTTCCCATCATCACCCCAAAACAACCCGTGTTGGCCAGCTTTAGCCCCAACCGGTCCACCACTGTACACTAGAACTACCACTGATTCTCCTCCTATACGTCCCTTCACCTTTATGGTGTGATTTTAGATAAAACTCATCTCTAAGTTTAGGGACCTCCGCCACATTTAGGTGCAAATGCTCGTCCTCAACCACCTCCTCCGCTAGAGTCTCCTCATCACAGACTGTAAGCACCTGCAGCGAACGGTCCTTACAGTGGTGGCCCAGTGCAAACTTCTAATCACAATGGAAACACAGTCCCCTAGCCCTCTTCTCCTGAACCTCTGCTTCAATCAACCGCTTGAAATTTCTCCCAGGCCGTGCTCTCAATCCCCTATCCTTGAGTATTTCTCTCTGATTTGGCATTGGTTGTACCTTTGGTGCCAAAAAAGTAGCCATCCGGTATGAAGTTCCCGAACTGTTTCCCTTGTTGCTTCTCTCAAATGAGTTTTTGTCCTTCATCATCTAGGCTAGCTCCATAGTCCATAGTTTCCCCCAACCCTCGTGGCCTCAATAATCAGACAACGACCTTGATCTATGGCTCGAGCCTCTTCATGAAATTCCCTTCAAGTACTATCTCAGATAACCTCTCCAATCGGCTTGAAAGGTACTCGAACCTCTCTTGATAATCCATCATTGTTCCTTCCTGAATTAGAGTAAAGAACTTCTCATAGAAGTGTCCTTCCTGATTGGGTCGGAAAAATTATAATAGACAATCTTTGAACTCCTTCCATGATTGGATTGGATCTCTCATGTTTCTCCATTGATATCAAGACAAGGCCTTCCCCTCCAAGTATAAAGCTGCCACCGTGAGTCTCTCCTTCTCCATCAGTCCTTTCATCTCAAAGTATCTCTCTACCTTATAGATCTGCCCATGAGCATCTTCCCCTAAAAAACGGGCATCTTCAGCTTTCTCACTCTTGGATTCCCTTCGTCCCAACTTCATCTTCCACCTTCGGCTCCTCCCATCTAGCGATTGTTGTGTATCTCTCCATTATTCTTTCCCACCCCTTCTCCTTTCATAGATATCCTATTCCTTCAAATCAGCCCTCCTCGTTTCTTCCTCTCAATTTTTTCTCATGCCATATCAGTTCAAGAGGTGACATATTTTTCCTATTGCTCAAGATTTCTACCACTCGATCATCCCCCATTGTGTCGATATTGAGGTTACCCCACTTCCTTGGCCACCCATCGGTGCTCTCGTCTCTGATGTTGCCGGTTGGGTGTGAAGCACTAAAATTTTCTTCATCATGTCTTCTAGTTTAGAAAACATTCATTCCATGGATGAAAACACTCCTCAATTTCATATTTGAGTTGGCCAATTTATCATTCTAGTTTCTCTTCCAAAGCATCCACTTTCTTTGTCGCCATAGGTCCCAAATCACGTTTTGATACAAATCTGATTGGAATCCCGATCTCTTCACAACAAAAATAGCAATATCAAAGGATAACTTAGCACAAATCAACAAGAAAGGGAGAGATTATGAGCTAATTCTCTGTGATAAATGCACAACAAACCAAGATATTGGTTGATCTACTATTCGAGAGGTAGATCGGTTCTCCACAAATCCTAGGCGCGGCTAGGAACAACTCCAAAGAAAACTACAATAAACGCAATCACATAATGAAAATTAAACAACCTAATTAGCTCTATATAAGCCTCCCTAATTCCCTCCCAAATCTCAATTCAAAATGGCCTCCTTTCTTTAAATAAATCTTTCCTAATTTCCTCCCAAATCTCAATTCAAATCAGCCCCTTTTCTTTAAATAAATCTTTCTTAATTTCCTCCCAAATTTAAATTCAAATCAACCCCCCTTTCCCTAAACAGACTTTCCTAATTCCTTCCCAATTTTTGATTTCCTATGGTAAGTAATTAAATGTGGATTTATTCTCTTTGGACCCCCTCTTTACTTGCTCGCCATCCCTACTAGTCGGGCCTACAGGCCGCTGGTCCATCATGCTTGTAATGCATATTTTACATATCTTTTCAATTTTTACTATGTATTTTATTGTACACCTGTATATGTGATTGCTGAAAAACATTGCAAGCGAAGTTTCCTCATACAAATTTTAAATTAGGTGATAGATTTGAATTAAAAAAAATATAATCTTCTTTAATGGATGTACACCATGTAGCTCATAAAATGACCTTTTATTAACTGATATATTATTTCAAGGATGACTTTGTATATCTTCCTAATTTATATATTAGTGTCATTTTTTCTATTCTGGAAGTTTATAGCGCAGTTCATGCTATATGGGTATTTGGTATCTTATTACCTCGTGTGTTGGAAGTTTATAGCGCAGTTCATGCTATATGGGTATTTGGTGTCTTATTACCTCGTGTGTGTTTATTGGCCTTTTCTCTCAATTTTCATGTTTAATATTGGATACGGACATGCATAGAATTATTTCTCATACTTAAAGGAACTTAAAATGACTCATCTGACTCCAATCTCACCCTGAATTTGAGCGTAGTAAAAAATTCAATGCTATTATCTTTTTGTTTTATGGTTTTAAGAATAGTAAACTCTAAATATTAGTTTTAATGAGAACATGGCCTTGTTTTAAAAAACTACGCACTTTTCTGTTAAGAAATATGAAATGGCAAGTGATTCTCCGATATTCATATCTAATAACACTCTAGTCTGAACTTTTCCAAGTTATCATAAAGAAAAATACGTAGGTTTTTGACATGCTTTTTCAGGTCCCTGGAGTCTTGTCCTTTGTTCTTTCTTTCGAACAACTTTTAATTTTCATAGTAAGTACAAGAAAAAAATTCTCTTAAATTGCATGAAGTTTTATGACCGGAGAAATAAGGCGTGAGAAGTGTATGATTAGTATTTACACTAGTTACTAATTATCATATTTTCTCTATTACCCTATTCATAATGCTATAATTTCTATCTTTGGTTTATATTGTGAACACCTTTTTTTTTTCTTTTATCGTCGTTATGAATTTTTTAGAAGTGCTTGGATGTGTAGGTGTTAAATTGAAATAATCTTTAAACATTGCACAAGTTCTCTTTTTGTTGCTTACATCTAGCATCTTGTTACTGACCTAACAACTGCCGCTTAAATGTCTTTTGCTGTTAATTATTGGTAATGAACTTCCTCAGGTCTATTTAGTCATTCTAGTTAAGCCTCCCCCATACTACAATAACCATTTCTCGTAGAACTGAGTGATTTAAAAACATGAAAAAATCAACTCGTGAGCAATTAGGATTGAGGTATCTTTTCCAATTTCCAAAAAAGGATGCACATTACTTTTGTCTCACGAGATTTCTGCCAAAAGAATCAATTGCAATTTCTCAATAGCAAACAAGATCTTACACGGCCTCTGAAAATGTGTTGTTAGATATTTCATTTTTCCATTGAAAGTGAACTTCAACCATCATCAAAATATTCAGATTATAGTAACTTTCTTGGAACGTGTCGGGGTCCAATAGCAATGATTCTAATTACTTTTTTTTTTCTATTATATTATTTCAGAAACCTAAGGACTCAAGTTATGTAAAATACATGATTTTCACTTTGAAAGAATAATATTACGCTACTATATATATATATGGCTACTCAATAAAGACGAAACGGTTTTCTTATTCTTTATCATATCCATATTTACATACAACAACGCCAAGCTTTTATCCCACTACATGGGATATATTGTATTGTGCTGAAATTTCAATTTATTTATTTTCTTTTCTTGAAAATAGATAAAAAAGATTGACATTCCAAGGAATCACACGTAAAAAGTTTTGTTGACACACATGGAGTTGATGGTTTTCATAGTGGTTGAATAATCATCTTTTTATGAAAAAAATAGAAGTTTCTTGGGAGTCTTATCATATTAATTTGTTCTATTTTCTTTGACGATGGGTCATAACTTCATTTGAGTTCAAATCCTACTTTGAGATCCATTAGAAGTTAGAAATTTTGTAAGCCATCAGGTTGAATAATCATCTGTTTATGAAAAAAATAGAAGTTTCTTGGGAGTCTTATCATATTAATTTGTTCTATTTTCTTTGACGATGGGTCATAACTTCATTTGAGTTCAAATCCTACTTTGAGATCCATTAGAAGTTAGAAATTTTGTAAGAAAAATAAGATGTTTCTTTTGTTGTAAATTATTGCATTAGTATTCATGTGCACTTATTATTTATGCTGATTAATATAGTGCCTTCAAATTCAATTTTAATGGCACGTTTATTCTAGATAATCAGTTTACTAAACATTAAGAAATCATACCTGATTCCTATGAAACTGACGTCATGCATAAATTTTTTTTTCTATTAACTGATATTTTACAATGTCTAACAATTCTTTGTTTTCTATATGATACATGTATTTCACTGTGGAGCATGACCATTTTGCAATCAGACCAAAATATTGTGAATTTTTAAAGCTTCAAGTGTCACTGTATAATGAGGCCCAGTAATAGCCTCTTGTCCAAAACATGTTCTTTGTTGGGATTTTGACTGCTTTGAATTTGGTACCTTTGACATCTATGCTTATTATTCTTCTACTACAGGCACGCAATGATGTTGCATCTCGTTTTCCCCATGGTGGTTGGGATGAGAAGGCTTTCACAGTTCAAAATTACCATATCAATCAGATGCCTTCAGATTTGCAGAAGGCTTCTGACTCGAAGCTTTCTTTGTATGAAAACCATGATGGAAGTGAGAAAATTACATGCTCTTATGATCCAAATTCTAGTTTGCAGGTTTTTTCTACCGGTCAAGTTTCTCAAAACCCTCAACAGCCATTGCAAAGCGTCTCAACAATGGATGCATGTCGGGTAAGCAAAATGCAGATTCCAACCAATCCTAGAATTGCCTCAAGCTTGACCGTGGGCATGCCAAAAGTTGACAAGGAAACTTCAACAGCTAATGCAGCAGCTAAACCAGCTTACATCAGTGTTCAAGTACCAAAGATGAACAATCAATTGTACTCCAGTGATGATGCTGATGCTGTTATTAAGGTAATCATGTCCTCATTTTCTGTGATCCATAACTCAAGGATGTTCAAGTTTAAGCTTGAGTCAAGGAACAAGGTGGACATGCAGGTTTGTTTGTGGTAGAGATTTAGGTTAATGATGGTAGATGGCCTGCTTTGTAGATGACACCTCAATGATGGTTTATTTTACTCCTTTAAGGCGATTAGCCAACAATAGATTAGGTGAGGGAGAGTGAGTTTTGATGAGTAGGAAAAGTGTATTTTAGCTGAGAGGGAGAGTGAGTTTTGATTAATAGGAAAAGAGAAGTTGGAAACAAATGGTATAGGATAAAGTTATCTTATGGGTTTTTCACCTTTTTCATGTTGTTTAAGCACCTTTTATCACCTCTCTTAGATGGAGAGAAAATTTCTAAAGAGAGTTTAGAAGAGAGATTACAAAGGAGAGAAGAGGGGTTGTCTACCTGGTAGCTTTTTGTGTGTGTGTGTGGGGGGGAGGGGGGAATATATTTGAAAATAAACTATAAAAAGTTCCTATTTATGGAAAACAAAAATTCAAACAATTACTAAAAAATGCCGGAAAATAGGAATTATATAACCAATCCTATTCTTTCTTAATTAAAATTTGATATGGCGGTTCAGAAAGAACCGCCTCAGCCGACCCCACCTGGATCAGCAATTTGCTATAGGAGGCGGTTCAAAACCGTCTCCCTCCTACCTAATTAAGCTTGCCGCCTATATGTGGGGCCCCATGGATTTAAATTTATTTGAATATTATTTTTTTAGGAAAGGGGTGGGCGGTGGAGAGCTTATAAATAGGAGAGGTAGGGGGGAGGGAGAGGCATGCTTAGATTTGAGTTTCTCTTGGAGTTTGAGGGCTCTAGACCTTGCTTCTAGAGATTGGGAGAGAACAATCCTCCTCTCGAATAGAGGATCACTTGTATCTTGCTTTATTGTTGGTTTGTTTGTTTCGTTATTGCAATTTTATTATTTTTGGGGCTGATTATGCCCAGATTTTTGTTCTATTCTCGCTGTTTTCTCTCCAATTAGTGATAGGTTTGCTTGTGAACTCAAGTATTCCCTTAGGGTTGCTTGCGAACTCAAGTATTTCCTATCAAAATTATAGTGTCTTTTCATGCCAAACTTCCTTAAAGTAGGAATTAAATAATATTAATAATGTTTTAGGTACCTGTTATTTTAAAATAATATAAAATATTATTATTTATTATTTATGTGGTCGACCCTTAGTGGTTATTTTAACATTATAAAAGATAATGGGTGGTTTGGGAGGCTACATGCAAAATAATCAAAATAATAAATAAATAAATGTGACAAAACTATGCTTGGCTTGGCTAGCTGGTATCCTCTTAGGCAACTTGGTATTCCGAAGAGTCTTTTTTATCATGGCTCCCTATTGAAAATAAAAATTTTAGATGAGGTCAATACCTCTTTCTAGTATGTTGTAGCATCATTTTGCTTGTTTTCTACTATTGTTTTTCTTGTCTTCCTGGAATGTTTCCTTGATTCCACTTTTGATGGTAATGGACTTTTCTCCACGATGCAGTCTTCTTGTCAAGGACTCTCCTGCATGACATATGGGTCCTCTCTTGTAGGAACCATCTTTCGCTACTCTTCATTATTATTTGAGTAAAAAAAAAGCTTAGAAAACTTACAAATTTCAGCCTCTCTGACATAGTACATGATAAGAGTGATGTAATTAGAAGATATCATTGACCATTTTTGTTAGAACAACATATTTGATGGGCTTGATCTATCTTACTTTCTTCTTGTAATCTCTCCTTAGATTTTGCTACACCTAATATCCTTTCTGGTATGTGCATGATGCTCTGTGCTTATTATACTTGGTTTTGTATTTCTCCTGGACTTCTTTTTAATCACTCCACCTTTTGATGGATGTCCTTGATACTCTTCATGATGCGTCATGCTCTTCATTTCTTATTACTCCTTTTTCAAATCTACTGATGGAGAATTGAAGATCTAAAGGCCTTTGAGGTAATAAATAAAGGAAAACCTGAAATGACAATGTTGAGGTGGATCTATGTATTAATTTCTATTTCTATTATTGGTGAACTTGATATATGGCAAGCTTTTTTGCCAAGATTGTTGGGTGCTTGGCAATTGGCATTGGATCCTAGCAGCATGTACAACATGGTGTAGTTGACTAGTTTTATTTGTGCATTAGTTTTAGGTGTAGCGCTCTTTTTTAGTTACATGTCCATTAGGCTCTACAAAGTCGTTCAAAACAAATTGAGGAATAGGATGAGTTTGTTGGAGATGATGAGATGTTCTTACCTTGTGAGTATCTTTCTATAATGGATCAGGCACACCATTATACTTGTTGAAAATCATAGATTGATAAATATGACCCCTTTTGGTCTGGAGAAAACTTCCAATAAATTCTATGAAGATGCTTTTTTTACAGCGGACTTGTTACATGTAGCAGCATGTGAAGGCCCATATTTTTGTTAAAAGGGTTAGAAGTGGTGCATAAAAGACACCACTTCATAAATTATTACAACTCCATGTCCATCTTAAGCCATTGCATGTCTCTTGAGATTCAAAATTGTTTTGTTTGCTTCGAAGTGACCTGTTACCTTTGAACTGTGTGCTTCCATTGCCCATATGAGGTTATTAGCATCTTTTGGTACGCACAATTGATGGCCTTGTTGTGGGAGATTGTCTTTTATTCTTAGGATGTAGACCGGTTGAGCAAGAACAAACTCAAGTTTATTAACAATCTGAGAATTTTTTATCGTGCTCGTTTTTAGCAAGTTTGAACACAATCTGATCACTAACTACAAGCCAAGGTAAAGAAGCACAAATGCAACGATAATTTATCAATTGATGGCTTTGATTACATGAAAAATAAGTATGTTATTTTCCTACTATAATATCTTTTAAGCATTATAGGATTTTAAAAAAATATGTCTAAGATTTAGAGTATATTTGATCATTCCATAGTACGACCTATAAGCAAAATGAACTTTAATAATATGTGTGTATACTTGAAATCATGTGGAACTGGCTCTTGTTTATGCACGACTTATTAATTATTAAGTGAAGTAGTTTAATTGCGTATGCACTAAGTGCACTTTGATAAGATTTTAAAAATTAACAAGAGGAAAAAAATACAAAATTAATCGTTATTGCATAATTAAAAAAAAAATTACTACTTTACTTTCAAAATGAAAGCTGATGATGATTTTGTTGGCAGATATTCTTTTTTTTTAATAGAATTTTGTTAATGCATTACTAATACTTAATAATTTAATGACTGTCACGTTCATTATTGTCTTACTATATAAAAGTAATAAAACTAATATTATAAAATAGATATCTTGAAGCTTAAGAAGGAATGTCTTTATATTTTTTATGTGATTCCATGTCTTTTCCATTATTTACTGTAAGATTCATATTAAGTAGCGGAAAGCAATTTAAAAAAATTGTGAACCTCAAAATAAGAGAAAAAGAGTAAAACCCAACTAAATCAGTTGCTACATTGGGATAATTTCTACTATTCGGCTTTGTCTTTTTAGGAAAGTTATTGATGAAATTGCAATTTTAAAAATAGATAATTATATTATATAATATTCACATATTATAGTTTTGAAGAACATTTAGAGTTTACAAAGTTTATGTAGGAATCTCAAAGTACAAGATCTTTGTTAAGCAATTTTTTAATTAGTTAAATAAGGTTATTTGTTATTATTTTTTTGAGAAATATGCAGTCCATTAAGATCATGAACATAAGAAGTAATTTTATTTTTGTAATTGCAGGAGTTGTTACTTGTGTTCAAACACAAGGTGGTTTGACCAAGTATTTTTCGATCCTGGTCTGTCCGCATGAGCCAAGCCCTTGCTCTCGTCTCTAGCCCATCCACGTGATCTCCCGCTGCCCGACCCCACTTTCTTTTGCAACGAGACCTGTGACCTGTAGCCCAGCACCCCACTTCCGCCTTCGCTTCCTCTTGCGACCATGTCCCGCGCCTTCGGCCCGACCATGCTCATCCCGACTTTTGCTCTTGTTCTGTCCCGAACGAGTGCAATCCTTCTCATGTTCGACACTGATGCTGTGCAAATTCAATAGTGCATACTAATTATTAATTAATGAAATCAATTGTAAGCGAAGTACATGTATAACACGAAAACAACGAGACCTGCGCTGTCATATCTTTGATCCGGCTAGAGAAAAATAAATTAGAAGACCTCGCGCCGTCATATCTTTGATCCGGCCCTGAGGAACAAAGGCAAGGGCCAATCCAACACCTCTCTATGCAAGGGTAGGTTGCCGAGAGGTTGTCTAGATTTTGAAAAAAAAACTACGCAACAACAACAACAACAACATCATCAAGCCTTTGTCCCACTACGTGGGGTTGGCTACATGAATCTTTTTTCACCATTGTGTCATGTTAAAAGTCAAATTCTCATTTAAATCTAATAAAGATAGATCACTTTGTAATATTTTCTAACTAAGTCTTTTTAGGTCTACCTCTACCTTTCTTAACATTAGTCAAATCTAATACATCAACTTTCCTAACAGGGTCATTGGAAGGCCTCCGTTTAATGTGGCCAAACCATCTAAGGCGACTCTCTCTAATCTTATCTTCCATTGGAGCTACTCCAAACTTTTCACGTATATGCTCATTTCATATCCTATCTCTAAGCGTAAAGCCACTCATCCACCTAAGCATCCTCCTCTCTGCAGCACTTAACTTAGTATTATGCTTCTCTTTTAATGGCCAACATTCAACACCATAAAGCATTGCAGGTCTCACCACCAAAAAGAAAAGAAAAAGAGAGATTTCAAATTTGAGTTTAAAAATTCAATTTGTATCTCAAATTATATAGTTTTTTTAGTACTTTTTATGTAAACAAATTAATTAATTAATTAATTTTTATCAATTAAAGAAAATAAAGAAAGAAGAAGAAAAAAAAATAGAAAATATGAAATAATGAGAAAAAAGTATATCGAAACATTAAGCTTCTAAAACAAAATAGTATTTGCTC